AATGGTTGAATATTTCTCAAATATTTTTCACTGTGATTTTTTAGGACATACATACACATATTTTAGCATAAAAGATTAAGTACAAGAATTATGTTCTGTGGCTGGGGATGTAGTTCATTGGCAGGAAGACTGATTCCAAAACATAGGAAGTTGTTGGTTCAGTCTATAGCTATACCAAGTGTTTGAACAGAGAACGGCAAAGCCAGTTTACTTTTCAAAGCTAGTTTACTTTTCAGAATATATATAAATCTCCTCAATGTTTTTTTCTCCACAGAAAGATTACCACATCCTTTTATTCAACGAATATTTCATTTCTGTACTGTCCAGGTTATGTGTTTTGGAATGTTTTTTTCTTACACTTAGTAACTTTCTTATGAAGGTACTTGTTGGTATTAAGGAACAGAATTTATCTTATGCAGAAAATTCAGCACATTCCTTACAGAGAAATACATGTAGAAACCATGCTCTTCATGGATTTCTCATCTTGGTATATATCATTTTTCTAAGTATGTCAGTACTTTGAAAAGTGTGCAGATATTCTAGGGAATAATATAAAAATTTCTGTTAAAGATGGAAAGGCATGAGCCAAGTGTGGTGGTTCACATTTATAATTCCAGCCCTCAAAGGCAGGAGGATAACCAGTTTAAGGCCATGCCAGGTTCCATCACAAGACCCTGAATCGAGAAAAAAAAAAAATTGAAGTGTTTCATTCAATTCCTACCCCAACAGAGTAAATTGTGTACAAATTAAATTTTATACAAATTCAATGTTTGAATGTGTCCAGCATCACCAAGGTGAAATCTGGTTGACAGTGATCAAGCTCTGATCTGATTCTTAAATTATACTATTAATTTTGTTTAAAAAAAAAGAAAAAGAAGGGGCTGGGAAGGTGGCTCAGTGGTAGAGCGCTTGCCTTGCATCCCTGAGGCCCTGGGTTCGATTCCTCAGCACCACATAAGCAAAAAGAAAAAAGGTGGAAGTGGTGCTGTGGCTCAAGTGGTAGAGCGCTAGCCTTGAGCTGAAAAGCTGAGGGACAGTGCTCAGGCCCAGAATTCAGGCCCCACGACCGGACCCAAAAAAAAGAAAAATGAGATATGTAGTGAAACACACCAAAAATTGTGACTGTCATTGTCAAACACATGCTGATAATTTGCACCTTTGTAGTTTTATCTTTATTGTGCCATAGGTACTGGTGATGAAGAAAACATAAATTAAATGAAATAAAACTCAATTTAAAGAAAATCTCAAACAAACAAACAAAAAAAAAGTTCAGGGATAGTGCCCAGGCCTAGCACCAGACACACACACACACACACACACACACACACACACACACACAAAAGAATCTGAACCAAAATATCACATTTAAAGAATAAGTGTCAACAATGCAAAAGCTTGAGCAAAGCAGAGCTTTTCCCTGCAGGAAAGCCTAATGGGCTGTCAAATCAGTACCGAAGTCTACTTTGTAGGCTTCAAATCAGTAAGGGAAACTGGCAGAGTGACCTTAAATCAGGTTGTTATGAAATTTTGATAGCTGCATTCATCCATCTCCAGGCCAAAAAAAATCAGCAGTGGGAAGTACAGGAAATCACCTCCCATCCTGTTACTCTCCCTATATCCAAGTCACAGTGCAACTCTCCGTTCAGTTTTCCTGGCTTAGGATATAGATAACCAGTAGGTTACATCAGATAGTAGTTGGTGGCTTTTGTTTTCTTGTGTTTATTAGTAATAAGCATAATGACAACTCATTACTTTCCCCCACTCCTAGGCTCTAGGGTGAACTCATAGCACAGAGTACAGAAGCGCTTGCAAGCAAGCACAGCAAGGACATGGGGGCAGAGCCACTGGGAATGAGCAAGAGCCTTTGTTTCCTACCTTGTCACCTAAATTCAGCTCACATAGTAAAAACTTGGTGAAGTTATTTGGTGAGGGATTTGAGGTATAAAGATATCATGTTCCTATTGGCTGGTTTGTGTTGGTTTTTGTTAGTGATGTTCATTTTCTAGATGATTGTAACAGCCAAAATCTCAGGTTCACCTTTCCTTATTCTTTTCTACTCAGAACATCCCATGATGTGAGCTATCCTGTTGTGTGGCTTTAAATTCATCAAATCGAGGGAACTGGGTACTGAGAAACCCAGGAACACTGCAGCGGTGTCTTGTTTTTTAACATCCTGTTCAGTATTTGTTGATGGATTGTGAGTAAAAGCACAACCCCATCGAATGCCCGTCTCTCACAAATGCTCCCCAACCTGCTTTGCCACCGCAGGACCAGGAGGAGTCGCTGCAGAGGCAGAGGTTTATTTCTTGATCCCTCTCTCATTCATTCCTTCCTCCGTGGTGACAAAGCCACCACCAAACACAAGAGAACCAACTCCAAAGCTCACTTTCATTCTGCCTCATGCTAATGTGTTGAACGTATTGAGTTTCACTCTTAAAGTGCAGATAAAACAAGTTAAATTTGCTTTTTAAGCCCAGAGTAAGAGATAAAAAGCCTCAAAGAGAAAGTGAGTATCATTTCTGGGGCATCCTTCATAGTGGCGAAAAGAACTAATACTTTCATTACATCTGGTCATATTTTTAGTTGTCTCAAGATCTAAATCAAACATGGCTCAGTGCGTTGTCTAACCTGCCTTCTTCTAACCCTTAATCAAAAGCTTGCACCTTACTACTAGAACACCTGGGCCACCAAACGTTAATGAGACGTTTCACAGAAACCACTCCATGGCTTGACCATTGACGGGTACCAAATGAAGACAGAGTAGTAGCTCCCAGAATATATAAAAAATATAATATATATTATATATATATTATAAAATATATAAAAATATATAAAATATATTTTTTAAAAAAAGACATTCCTAAATAACTTGAGAATAGGGACAAGAGGGAAGAAATGGAGGAAAACAAGGGAAGGGGTGACAGGGCCCAAGCAGCACTGTACTCAAAACTGGACTTACGGAATTGTAACCCCTTTGTACAACTACACCATCATCCTACCAGACTGGAAAAACAAAAAAAAAACAACAAAAAAAAAGATATTCACCTATTGGGATGGAAGGGGTTGGCTAGTTGGTGAGCAGACCCACTAGTTTTTACATGAGACAAACCACTGAGTGCCCTTACAGGGAAATGTGTCTTTGCATTAACAAAAAGCACGAAGGACCTAAGGCAGCAGGGAGTAAACCATCAGCACAAGAAACTGGCCACGTAAAGAAAATCACATCCAAGGAACACGTCGCGGCCCAGAGTCGTTCTTCCCGGGGAAAAAAAAAACTGTCGGCCCTGACCTAAGCCCAATGGGCCAACCACACACAGCTTCTCGGGGTTGATGACCCCGGGAACGGGGGGGGGGGGGGGGATCCCTAAAACGAAGGGCGGCCCTCTGCCGTGCCATTGTTCCCACAATGCCGTGACTCGGATTCGAACCGAGGTTGCTGCGGCCACAACGCAGAGTACTAACCACTATACGATCACGGCGAGCTACCGGGACGCCACGGCCTGCCGGGCGCCAAGGGCCGTCCTTGAGGTGTGGAGAGCCGCCGTCCGGTCTTTCTCGAACTTTCCGCGGAGGGAGCGCCAGCTGACCCCTTCCACGCCCCCCCCCGGGGCGGGGGTGAGGTGGGGGGGAGGACAGCGCCAGGCTCTGCCTGGGAGACCCGCGTACACCGCCGAAGTGGGGGGGGGGGGGGGGACGTGGGAGCGCTCGGCCGACGCCGGGACGCCGACGACGCCGGGCCCACCGTGACGTGTGGCGAGCCCGGGGTCGCGCAGGTCAGCGGGAGGGACTCGTCGTTCTCTCTCAACATGCTACGAAAAGGAATTCTGACCACAGTACCACCACCCCCCCCAAAAAAAAAAACAAACGCTATCTTAGAGAAACAGGGTGGGGAGGGGGGGGAGGAAGTGTATCGCGAGCTCCGAGTCCGCCCCGAAAGCTGAGGAGAAAGCGCGCCGGCTTCGGCGGCTGCGGGCGCGGCGGCGAGGTTGCTGATAGGCGGGAACTAGCCGGGACGGGGTGATGACGTCAAAAGGGGGCGGGACTCTTGACAGAGAAGAGACTAAGGGAGGCCGTTTGGCTCCAGGTTCCCGGTAGCTCGCCGTGATCGTATAGTGGTTAGTACTCTGCGTTGTGGCCGCAGCAACCTCGGTTCGAATCCGAGTCACGGCATTGTGAGAACAATGGCACGGCAAGGGGCCAGCGTTTTGTCCATCTCCTCCATTTTTTTTTTTTTTTCTTTTTTCTTTTTAAACCCTCCATCGTTACGATGGAGGAAATGGATCCCGTTCCCTTGTCACAGGATAAAGTTGATTCACAACCGGACTACCCAAGGATTTGGGCTTCCTGGTGCCTAAGCGACTGGGGGACGTTTCGGGAGACAAAAGCACCGGGAACTCGCCAGGCTGAAACGTGAAAGGACATCGTCTCGCAGATTTCCACCCAAACGCCCTGGCGTGGATTCCAGATCGTTCTGGAAGAGGAGGCTCCTGGAAGGAAGGCTCCTGGAAGGTACCTCTTAAAAAAGCAGAATATGATTGAAACCCCTTTGTGCAATGAATATGCACTTTAAAAAAACAAATGCATGTCAGGAGACTAAAACAGGCTCGGGGCGGGGGGTCGGTTATGGAGAGGAGGGGGAATGGAGAGAGGAAACATGATGGCAGTTTTAGATGCATGTCTGAAACCTGTTGGAATTGTTTCTGGAGGGGGGCTGGGGGGCAGAGGGGGAAAGTGGTAGAGGGGGTCGGTGGATTGGGATAGCTTGTATGGAAATTTCACAACCCCCCCTCCCTTAATAATGTATGCTAATAAAAAAATTAATATAAAATGTTAGTGGGGGGAAAAACGGGATAATTTAATATGCAGAGGCTTGCAGGGAGTGTGGACAAGGCGGTGTAGTAATTCCTCTTTCTGAGTGTTTCTCCCTAAATCTTCTTTATAAAGGCCCCCCACTGCTATAAGCCCCCCCCCCCCCGCGGGGCCCGGGCCTCTCCCAGGCGCTCCTCAAGTACCTGTTGATTGAATGCAAGTACCTGGGGAGTGGGAAGCCGAGAAATAGCTAGCAGAGCTTGTTGGATGTCCTGCGACTCTCGGGAGTGACAGCAGTGATCTGATCGTGTTCATCCAGAGCCCCCCCCCCCACTCCGGTGTCCCCGGAGGGGCTCATTGGGGCTGAAGACGCCGAAGGAAGACTTCCATGGGGACCCTCAATTCATGTGTCAGAGACCGTGGGCGCATCCTCCGTTTCGTAAACAGTCATCGCCTATTGGATTGGGCCCAAAGGTGCTTGGGGGGGGGGGTGCGAGCAGGTGGACCAGAAGGGGGAGAAACAAAATCCGTGGAGGGGGGGGCGGGGGGTCCCTGCTGGCTGCAGGGAGGTGAGCATTCCCGGGCTTCGGATGAGGGGGGGGGGGGCATCGGGGAGTCCGAGAGGCTGCAAGGACTGGGTGGCGGGGCCGAGAGAGGCTGACTTCGGTCTAGTAACCGATCTGGGTCCGGGGGGAACGTCCACTCGCTCCGCAAGGCCTCGATGGGTCCCAGCTGCGGGGAAATCAAGCCATCAGGAGGCCTCCCCCACCCTTCAGCCCCCCTCCACCCCCCCCAGCCCCCCGCACACACACACCCCGGTGAGGATCGCCCCCTGCAGGCCTCTGGGAGCGATGGGTCTGAGCCCCGCCACCACCACCACCCCCTCCCAGCGGTCTCCCCCACCCCCTTCACCGGGAAGCCGGGAGGATCGCCAGCACCACCCTCCTCCCCGCCTCTCCCCCAACCCCCAACCCACCCCAACTTCCCAGTAGCGTCATCCTCAGCTTCTCTGGACCAAAAAAAAAAGAACCAAAACAAGAACCACTCAAGCCAACGGGCTAAGAGCGTAATGCGCCTGCGCACTCCCCACCGTCCGCGTCAGGCCGAAACCCCGCCCCGTTGGTTAGTCAGGCGGTGACGTAGCCAGTGGGCCGGCCTATGAGTGTTGAAGAGGACTTTCGGAAGGCTCGCCCCACAGGTCCCCGGTAGCTCGCCGTGATCGTATAGTGGTTAGTACTCTGCGTTGTGGCCGCAGCAACCTCGGTTCGAATCCGAGTCACGGCATTGTGGGAACAATGGCACGGCAAGGGGTTCGCCTTCTTTTTTTTATTTTTTTCCCCTTTTCCCCTCCTCTTCCAGTCTAGATAAACTGGAAGCCGGTCTCGGATGAAAGGAACTGCCGCTCTGCTCTCCCCTGCGGAGAAGAAAAGATCGCCACCTCCTGTCATTCCTTTCCAGGCTCTGGATGTGGCTTCGGATCAGCTTCTTCTCCCTTCCTGACTCCAAGTCAGTGTCCAAATCGTTCCACCACAATGAGCTCCCCCGACCCCCCCCCCCCCCGACGTGGTGGGGTTCCCTTCCTTGCTCTCCCCCTCCTCCCCCCAGCTTCTTCATGCATTATTTAAAATTGTGTCATCCATTTTTCAATAGACTATCTGCACACGCGGTAGTGAAAAGGATCTTTCTCATGCCACCAATGATTGCCAATGGCTGGGATATATTTGCCTTGACAGTCCTTGTGCAAACAGATGTTTATGTACATATATGTGAATATATTCCTGTACGTCTTGCATAAAACATATCCCACACACACACACCCTCCAGAATGATGTAATAAGAACAGAATTCGAGGTGACAGATTTTCCCTTGGGTAGGCAATCTCGCTTTATGGGGAAAAGTACACACACACACACACACACACCACCTTCCATTTAGCTAGGGAGGGTGGGGACAGTTTGGAGTAGCCAAACGTGGGGAAAAATTCTTTATTGTAGCCGTTAAAACCTTTTTTCTGGGCTCCTTTTACAAAGCAATTCTGTTATTTGATTTTTCAGGTTGGGAAATCAGGGGAGCAGCTTGAATTGGGGGTATAGAAGACCAAGTTGACTTGGCTGTCCATCTGGGAACGTTCTATTCACCCACCTCCCCCGCCCCCTTTCTTATGGTCGAAATCCAATTTAAGTCACAAACCACCAAAGTTTGAAAAATCAAGTGGATTGTAATCAGGACTGACTGAGTCTTCAAGTTTGTGTTCCAAGCACACGGCCTCTCTATAAATATTTAAACTGAAGGTCTGTTTGTTTAGTTTGTTTTTCTTAGTCAGGGTCTCACTGGGTTAACAAGGTTGGCCTCAGACTCATAGATCTCCAGCTTCTGGGTACCTGGAATTACAGTGACATCAAATGTCTGGTTCTGGGGGGAGTCTACAAATGAATGAAGTGGCCAGGTTTGCTTTAGAATTGCATATATTAATTGCATATTTAAATAATGAATCATGCCATTTTCATATTAAATAGAACTTGTCTGTGAGCCTACCAAAAAAAGAAAATTCACTCTTCCATTTTTCTTTTCTTTTTTGGATCCTGTTGTGGGGCCTGAATTCTGGGCCTTGGCACTGTCCCTCAGCTTTTCAGCTCAAGGCTAGCGATCTACCACTTGAGCCACAGCGCTACTTCCAGCTTTTTTCTTTTTGCTTATAGTGGTGCTGAAGAATCGAACCCAGGGCCTCAAGGCATGCAAGGCAAGCGCTCTACCACTGAGCCACCTTCCCAGCCCCCTCTCCCATTTTCTAGTAACATGTAACTGTAGGTCCTTCCTCTCTTGTCCCTCTCTTTCTTTTCCTTTCTTCCTTCCTCCTTTCTTCCATCTTTCCTTCCTTCTTTTTTCCTTCCTTCTCCTATTCTTAACAAGGATATGACTTGGGAAAATATTTCATTTTCCTCTTTATAGTAAGAGGAAAAAAATGAAAGTTGGTGGTAAAAGCAACTGGTTGTGGGGCTAGGAAGGTGTCTCAGTGGTAGAGCGCTTGCCATGCATGCCTGGGGCCCTGGGTTTGATTCCTCAGCACCACAGAAGCAAAAAGAAAAAAACCGGAAGTGGCGCTGTGGCTCAAGTGGTAGAGTGCTAGCCTTGAGCTGAAGAGCTGAGGGACAGCGCCCAGGCCCAGAGTTCAGGCTCTATGACTGGACCCCCCCAAAAAAAGAAAGAAAAAAAGCAACTGGTTGCAGTAAGAGAAATAAACCCACCATGAATGTACTCCTTCCTCTGCTGTATTGCTTCCTATCTCTGCGCCTTTGTTCTGCTCATGCTAATCTCCTAGCTTGGAATGACTCTTCATCCCTTTGCTTCATTTGTCCAAGTGCTACACAGCTCAAGTTTACCTTCTTCATGAAGCCTGCAACTTGGTTGGTCCCATTCCTCTCAACAGTTACCACCTAACTCTAGCCTACTTTCTAGCCATGTGGCACCTTTCCATATAACCATTTTTACAGATTTGTGTTGGCTTGTTGTTTTTGTGGTACAGGGGTTTGAACGGAGGGCCTCAATCATGTCACTTCAGTCATGCTCCTATTCCTTTTTTTTTCTTTAGTTATTTTTCAGAGAGGCTCTTTTGCCTTTTGCTTAGAGTGGACTTGTGGACTTTGAATTGTGATTCTTCTGATCTCTGCTTCTTTTGTGACTGGGATGCCTGGCTGAACATTTTACAGTTTGAAAAGCTAGTTCAAATTTAATCATCTCCCATAATCGCCATACCATTACCAACCATTTCCAGGAAAGATCAGTGCCATTGAATTCTTGCCCAAATATCTTACCAGAACCCATAGCTGTTGACTCCTGGTCAGTGCCCTTCCTAGCCCTCCACAACTGAAGTTGTGGAGACCTTTATACATGGATTAACTATACCATCCCTCAGCTATGTGTCATTCCTTTGACCAGGTTTACAGCATTTAATATATATTATACATATTATATATTATAAATAATATTACACACACACACACACACACACACACACACACATATATATATATATATAATACATATAGTCGGTTGTGGGGCTTGAACTCTGGGCCTGGGCGCTGTCCCTCAGTTCTTCAGCTCAAGGCAAGCACTCTACCACTTGAGCCACAGTGCCATCTCCAGTTTTCTGGGTGGTTGATTGGAGAGAAGAGTCTCACAGACTTTAGTGCCTGGGCTGGCTTTGAACCGTGATCCTCAGATCTCAGTCTCCTGAGTAGCTAGGATTACAGGCGTGAGCCACTAGCACCGGGCTTGCATTTAATATTTTTAACCACACTTTTAAGAATGTGTTCATTATTTTCTCTATTAGACTTCATGAAGCTAAGCATAGGATCGGAGTCTTACTACTCAATATGTATCTGGGGGCCAATAGCATTTGTGTCATCTGAGAGTCTGTCAAAACTATGAGTTCTAGGACTGCACCCCAGCTAGATCTAAAGAAATGGTAACCTGTAATTTAAACACGATTCCCAGGAGACAAGTGTTCACATGACAGTTTTACAAGCATGGTCCCATAGACATAAAACAATAGAATTTACACATAGCAGGAATTTAATATTTTGAGACAGGGTATTATAGGAAATCCCCCCTTCCCTATCACATGCTTCTCCCCCAGCTTGAACTCTCACCTCATTGAGGCTCTTTGGAAGCTCAAAAGGCAGTTATGGTGGGGTGTGGTGATGGATGATTGTAGTTCCAGCACCCAGGAGTCTAAGGCAAGAAGATGGGAGCTACAGACTGTACACTGAGACCTTCCCCAGCTGAGCCAAACTCAAATGCTGGCCCTGGCTTCAGGGCTACAACACTTCCGGTGAGGAATTGGCCTTATTTCCAAGACCAAAAATGCTTAGGGCTTGAGCATCAGAGCCTCGGGAGGATAAGGGATTGTGATAGACAAGATTGGAACTGTTTCTAGACTTGATTTATTGACGTGTCTGTTTCCATTCTGTCATTCATATGATTGACAATGAAACCCTGGATGTGGCTTAAAGGGATTTCTGCGAGTGTGCACTCCGCCTTGCGGGCTGGGTGGGCCTCTTCTGGGCAGGTGCGCCTGTTGTTGGAGATATTTGTGCAAGGGTTGTTTGCACGCAAAGGGTGGGGGGGAGAGGGGTCCGTGGGAACGACACGGGCAAAGTGATGCGGGAAGGGTTGGCCTGGATTGGGTATCTGCGGGGGCAGGAGGAGGTAGGTGGGGCCCCCAAGGCCTGGGGGGGGGTGTGTGTATGGGGGAGCAATTGCAGACATATCTTAGGAAACCCCCCTTTTTCTCGCCCAACCCTCCCCAAATCCAAAAACATCGCTTTCCGTTTGCCAGGCCTTTGAGGGGGAGGGAGGAGAAAGAAGGACAGAGGGCGGGAAGGCTAGGGATCCCCACACACACCTTTTCAGCATCTCCTCGCACCTGCTGGGAGCTGGAGAAGGGAAACAGATGGGGATACATGGATGCGCCCCCCCCCACACCCCCAGATGACACGTGCAGGAGGATACACCCTAGCCCAGGAGTTGCATTCCCATCTCCGGGGGAGGGGGTCCCCACTTCATCCACCCCAGGTGAGGAGATGATCTCCGCTCCTCACCTCCGGGGCGGAGCGAGGACGACCCCGAGAGACAGCAGAGCCCCGCCCCTCCCTTGTTATTGAAGGCTATTCCCCCCCCACACACACTGCCCCTTCCCGCCCGGCTAGGCCCCGCCCCTGCCCCTGCGAAGGCCCCGCCCCGCCCACCGAAGCCACGCCCATCCCACGGCGGCGTGGCCACGCCCCCGCCGGGCTCCCGCGCTCCCCTCGCCCAGTCCCGCCGGCCCCATGTTACTGAGCGGAGCTCCTCCGGCGGGCTCCGGCCCGGGGCCGCGGGCGCAGGGGGGCGCCGGGAGCGGCCCGGGAGGATCCCGCCGGAGTGCCGGAGGTACCGGGGCCGGTCCGGGAGGGGGTGGCAGCGGTGGAGTAGCCAAGTGGCTCCGGGAGCACCTGGGCTTCCGCGGGGGCGGGGGGGGCGGCGGCGGCGGCGGAGGCGGGGGGAGCAAGCCGGCGCCCCCGGAGCCCGACTACCGCCCCCCCGCGCCCGGCCCGGCCGCGCCCCCCGCGCCGCCCCCGGACATCCTGGCCGCCTACAGGCTGCAGCGGGAGCGCGACTTCGAAGACCCTTACTCCTCCGGGGGGTCGTCGGGCTCCGCCGCCCTGGCCGCCCCCGCGGCCCCGGGACCCACGCCGCCCCCGCGCCACGGCTCGCCCCCGCACCGCCTCATCCGGGTCGAGACCCCCGGGCCCCCGGCGCCCCCTCCCGAGGAGCGGAGCTCGGGAACCCCGGCCAGCAGCGACAGGGTGAGTGCGGCGGCGGGTGGGCCCGAGGGGAGAGCGGGCGGAGGCCTGGAGGTCGCGGGGGGGGGGGGGTGGGGGGGACAAAGGTGGCGCCTGGCCGGCCCTGGGCCTGGGGGCTGTCACGGCCCCTGACCCCGGGGCTCGAGGTCTTAGCCTACCTTTGTTCAGGTTCCCGGCCAGCTAAATCGGAAGCGAACAAGGAACCCCCCCAAACTCTGCCCGTGGTCCCCGGACTGGTGACCCCCCCCCTCCTCCTCCTCCTCCTTGATTCCACAGCACCTTCCCCCACCCCCACTTCCCCACGACCCAGCCTGATCTAACGGGAATGGGGAAGCACACCCCACCCCTCACCCCTGCAGCCCTTTCCGAGCCGCGGCTTCTCTGCCCTTTGATCTCTGACCCTTCCCCCCAGGGTAGAATCTGCACAAAGCTTTCCCGTCCTTTCTCTCATCCCTACTCCCTTTCACTCCTCCTCCTCCTCCCCCCCCCCCTCCTTCTCCTCTTTGAGCCCAAGCATCCTTACAGGTACTGAAGCCCCCCCCCCTCCCTCCCGAAAAGAAGGCTAGGGTTTCTCTTTGTAGACACAGCAAGGGCTGACCTCGGCTTTAACTCTCCCCCCGTCCCCCCCCCCCCCCCCAGTGTGGCAACTAGAACCGGGTGAGCTGTTCTCAGGATAGTAGCTTTGGGCACTGTGTGGCTCTTGCCAAGGAAGCTGATTATACTGGGGTAGTCAGCTATCTCCAGAGGCTACTACAGGCCCACTCTTTCCTGGTCCCCCTTTCCACCTACACACATGCACACACTTATGAGCACAGTTGCTGCTCAGGACCTGTTGCCTAGATAGGGCTCCGAAGCAGAGCCCATGTCCTCCAGGCCTGCCTCCCCCTAGATCCATTCTCAGAGAGGCTGTGCAGTCTTTCATGGTTCTTCATGGGGCAGAGAGGACAGCAGGCAAGTCACTGTTCCCCAAGACGTCTCCTTTCCCTCAGAGACCCTCCCCACACCCCAACGCCTCCACTCATAACCTTCTCTGGAAGAGTGACAGCTGAAAGCCATCCCCAGGCCCCCACAGCCCTAAGTCCTAGATCAGAGACTGTGAGCTACCCTGGCACTCCCTGGGAGCTAGGCCCTGGAGCTTCAGTAACCTCTCCTATGCAAGAGGACTTTTTTTTTTTTTTCTGGATCGGAGAGCAAAGTTGCTGTCTGAATCACAGGATTCTAGAATGGAGGATTTTAGTGGAGAGATACTCTGCCCACTTCTGGATGAGAGAGATGTGTCAAGGTCAGAAAGAAGCCTCAGGAATGTGAGTAATTTTTCCCGTAGTCCCTGCTGTGAAGCATGGCTGCCCATGAAGGCCAGGCTCCTTAGGGTGTCCCAGGCTGTGCTGTTTCCTTTCTAATTGTCATCAGGACCATGTGGCTGTGTGATATGTGTTGATGGTGTGGCATTGAGGCCCAGGGAGTAGCTAGGCCCTAGTCTCTCCGCCGATCAGTTAATCTCTTCTCTAAACCACTGGCTATTGGCACAGGGCCTTAAGCTGTCTTGGACCCTTTTCCTCTCTGTAAGTGGGTAAGAATGACCTAACAGGCTGCTCACCAAGCTGTGGTTTCCTCCAGGATAAGGACTGTATCCTCCTCATGTCTGTGTCGCCCAAGTGTCTGACAAATTCTTGACATATGTATGTCCTAAATGGTGACCATCCACTCCCAGGGTAGTCTGAGGGTCATCCTTCCCTTGCACATTTTTCCAGAGACCTCAAGAAAGGTGCTGAACCCACTGAAATCATTCAGACAGACTCTTAGTCTCTTCTTACTGGAGAGCATCTATGCCTCAGCCTGGGTCAGCTCTGAAATCTGTAGGTTGTTCAGACCTGAGGAGGCCAGGACATGGCTGACTCCTTTGTCAGCTGGAGGGGCAGGAATGACATCCAGCAGGCTCTTCCAGGAGCCACACAATCTGTACTTTCTTCTGCGAATATGATGAGAAGAATCCAGAATGCCGTTTGAGCTGGAACACTGTTTCATGGGCTGTAACAGTTGCAAGGGCTCCCCCATTATTTAGAGTGAGCAACTTCCTCTAGGTAAAACCCAGCGTCCCTGAATCCTTACCATAAGCACAATACCTGAGCATCCCTTGGGCCTTATGAGTGGCACAGTGGCGTAGGGTTCATGTAAGGTGCTGTTCCTGCATGGTGAGCTCCCTTGCCCCTGCTCTGGCCAAACTGGTGTTTTGTACCCTCTGACTGCTGTATTCTCGTTCTCAGCTCTTCAAGGCACTGAGGTTTGTTGCTTTGGGGCCTCCTCCTGAAGTGAGGTGGAGGAGACTGGGAGACCAGGGTGGGCCTTGTGCTGGCTTGCTTCTCTCCTTCTTCTAGTGGCCAGTGCGGGGAACAGAGGGGCCACGTCCGGAGGTTGGATGAAAGGGGGTGGTGGTGCTTCTGTGATGAACTTGAAAGACTGAGCGGGGAAAGGCATCCATTAAGTATAGAGGCAAGGGAGAATGAGGGCCCGAACAGGACCCTGAGAGGCTCAGAGTGTGTAGGACCATTAGCTTTCTCCTCACTCAGGACTCTGGCTGTCAGCCTAAGGCTCATGCACTCTGGCCATCTGGGCAGGCCTGGCAGGGCAGGTGTGGGAGCAGCAGGAGCAGCACCCTGAAATGGGCAGGCAGGGCCTCAGCAGATGGCCCCAGGAAGAGCTCCCTCTGGTGCTGGGCACTTGTCCCACCTTCCCCAGGCTGTGCTCTGGCAGAGGGGGCCAGAGAGCTTGGGCAGTCCTTTTGATTTGCTTACTTTTCTCCAACCTTCAACCGGAAAAACCTGCTCTAATTAGGGAAGGGGGATGGCTAGGGGCCTAGGCCCCTGATTGGATGAAGCTTTGAACTGCCTGAGACCATCTGCGCAGTGTGTCCTTGGCCTCTTTCATGCCAAGACATGGAGGGATGGGGAGCAACATGGATAATAAGCTAGCCGGGCACCTTATATTGAAACCAGAGCTTTGGTTCCTGGCGTTTTCAACTCGCTCAAGAAATGGTGTGCATCAGGATCATTCCTATTTTTTTTCTGGGAAAGACACACAGTTCTCAGATTCTGATAGGAGTTTATAGCTCCCAAAGTAAAGAATTAAGAACTTTTAAAAGCAGAAGCTGGGTGCTGGTGGCTCATGCCTGTAACCCTTGCTACTGAGGATGCTGAGATCTGAGGATCGTGGTTCAAAGCCAGCCCGGGCTGGCAAGACCCTGAGACTTTTACCTCCAATAAGCAACTAGAAAAGTGGAAGTGGTGCTGTGGTTCAAGTGGTAGAGTGCTCACCTTGAGCTGAAGAGCTGAGGGACAACACCCAGGCCCAGAGTTCAAGCCCCACGACCACTCACTCCCCTCCTCCCCCCCCCCCACCCCCCCCACCCCCCCATCCCCGCGCCAAAAAAAAAAGCAGATGTAGCTCATGGGTAATCTCCATATATAGACTTGAGTCTTCGAGGCCCCTGTTTAGAAAGGAGTAAGCAAACAAGTGGTAGGAAAAGTAAAAGGCCGTCAAAGGGTCTAGAGTTGAACAAGACATTCTTGCCCTGGAAGTGACATTGTGGCTCAAGTGGTAGAGCACTTGCCTTGAGCTGAAGAGCTCAGGGACAATGCCCAGACCCCAGAGTTCAAGCCTCATGACTGACACAAACAAAAAAACAATTTTGGGCTGGGAAGATGGCTCAGTGGTAGAGTACTTGCCTTGCATGCATGAGGCCCTGGTTTCAATTCCTCAGCACCACATAAGCAGAAAAAGCCAGAAGTGGCACTGTGGCTCAAGTGGTAGAGCGCTAACCTTGGGCTGAAGAGCTGAGGGACAGCGCCCAGACCCAGAGTTCAGGCCCCACGACTGGCAAAAAAAAAAAAAAAAGACATTCTTGCCCTGAGATGATGATTGGACTGCCAGTTGTTGGACCATCCTTTATCCAGTGTTCATTGACTATTGGGCCGTCTAGGTACTAAAATGATCTTGGCCTGAGTTTCTGTACTTGAATTTGCTCCCAAAAGGAGCAGTCATTCTCTGTTAGAGATACCGAGAGGAGGAAAGTCGTGGGAAAGGATGAGGATGGCGGAGGGGTCCAGGTTGTTGTAGAATGGTTAGATGCCTTAGCCCTTTTTGGTCTCTGCCGCTTTGGCCATCTATGCTACCGCTGGTGCTTCAAGTTCAGCTGAGGCTTATGGCTACTAGGGGATTGTAAGGCTAGCCTGCCCACTCTACCTGTGCCAATGCCACCCTACCCTAGAGCACTCACTGTCTGGAAGACATCTGTGCTTTAGTGCCTTGGCCAGTGAGTAACTCAGTCACACCTCAGCCCTGACAATCTTGTCTCTTGGGAGCAGGAACTAGCTGGGACCCTGGTGATCTTGGATGGCTAAGCTGACTTGGCTAAATAGGGCCCGAGGTTTGGAGGGGTCCGGTCGTGGGGCCTGAACTCTGGGACTGGGTGCTGCCCCTCAGCTCTTCAGCTCAAGGCTAGCGCTCTACCACTTGAGCCACAGCACCACTTCCGGCTTTTTGCTTTTTCTGCTATGGAATCGAACCCAGAGCCTCATGCATGCAAGGCAAGCACTCTGCCACTGAGCCACCTTCCCAGCCCTCCTCCAGTATTTGATCTTTTCATCCTTAATAATATAGTGCCTGACATTTTGTTTTCTTTTCTTTTTTACTAATACTGGGGCTTGAACTCTGGGGGGCCTGGGCACTGTCCCTGAGCCTCTTTATGCTCAAGGCTAGAGCTCTACTACTTGAGCCACAGCACCACTTCCGGCTTTTTTTTCCCCCTGTGGTACTGAGGGATTGAACCCAGGGCTTCATACATGATAGGCAAGCACTCTACCATTAAGCCACATTCCCAGCCCCATGCTGACATTTTCTAAGTACCTGCCTCATAGCTGGTATCATTTTGAAGCAGCAGGATGTGTATTAGACCAGATGACACTTGTAACAACCCTGTAAGGAAGATTCTATACCTGAATTACCTATGGATGAAATGAAACACAGGAATGTTAAAACACCTTTGCATGGTTCACATCCTTGCAGCCTGGCTCTGGGCTGAGCATCCGTGGGCAGTCTCTTAGCACCTAGCACCAAGGAGGCTTTTAGAGAAGAAAATCGGGGTCTTGTTTTGTGCTGAATTCACAATTTCCTGAATGATGTGACCTTGCTGGCCATGCATTCTTGAGGTGGCCACGGATACACCAAAGGTTCTTACAAAGGTTAGTGGCAGCAGCGGCAGTCTGATATGTTGAGTGTTTCGTAAGCCTGGCATTGCTCTTGTAATTAGAAAAGGCAAAACAATCAATTTGTTTTATGTTGAAAGAGTTTCCCAGGCAGATTAAAATAGGCAGCCCAGGACGTAGAAACAATAGGTACCCAAAACTTGGCTTTCAGGAAAGTTAAGTAGTGTTACCTTTTTCCAAATTAGTTGGTTGATAGGTTTTCAGTAACATAGGGCTTCTGTGGTTAAATGCTTTAAAGGAAACAAAATGGTTTAATTTTTTAAAAGAAATGTGTTTAGATTTATTGGCTACTTGAATTCCCCAGGCTAATTTTTTTTTTCCTGTGCAGAGATTTGATTGAACCTGAGGTCTTGACATGCTAGACAAGTGCTCTATCACTAAACAATATCCCTAGACCCTAAAATAAATTCTAAGTGTGCAACTAGAGGAGGTGCTGCATTTGCCATATTTATAGAAAACAGTGCCAAGACACCGAGAGTCAGGAGACCTGGCTCCTACTCCTCTCCATGCTGCCGACAGGCAGTGTACTGGTCACCAATCAGAACTCTTGATGCCTTCATTACCTGAATAGAAAAGATTATGATATTAAATGTTGAACACTCACTCCGGGCCAGCCTTTCGAATAAGCACTGTTACAATTTCATTTCCCTCTTTTCTGCCCTTACCTACAATGACAGTTGAACCAGCCAGGGGCTTCTGGACCTCAAATGTAAACTGAAGAAGCGCAAGAGCTGATGGGGTGGCACAAGCCTGTAATTCTAGCACTAGGAAGACTGAGGCAGGAAGATCGTGAATCTGATGCCAGCTTGGCTAAATTGGGAGACACTGATTCAAAATTACCTGCATGCATGCGTGCGCGTGCACACACACACACACACACAAAACGGTAGAGAGTTTGGGAACCTTGCAGAGCCAACATCCTGCAATGTCCATCCTCCTATCTCTGCCTTGTGTTCATACCCCCTGCAGTCCATGGGGTAGGGCCAAACCAAAGCCAGATGGCCAAACCAGAGCTAGCTACCTTGGAGACCAGGTGTGGGCAGGAAGGAGATTTAAAGTCTGACAGCTGCTCCGGGAAGGGCAATGCCTAGCTGACAGATGAGAATCGAGGGGCCTAGGTGGCCGGAGGAAGGGAACTCACAGGACCTTCTGGATAGCAGCTACTTTACTTACTTGTTCAGAAATATGCCAGCTTTTCAGTCAATTCTGGATGACCAGTGGACATGCCAAAATACCAGCCCTGTGTTAGAAGCCTTTCCTGAAGTCCCTTGGCTGGTAGTTCTTCTCTTTTTGCCTTTTGAGCCAGAGGTTTTGATCCTAGTTCAAATGTAGATTCTCCTCGTGAGTCTGATCCTGTCACCGCTGATCATCACTCAGAAGTCACACTGACCAGGAATCCGAATGCTGGTGTCACCCCACAGATGGAGCCCGGGAAAGGAAAGGGGGCTTTTGGGCATCTGACAGATGTGCACTGTGTGGCTACTATGTGCCAGGCCCAGTGAAGAGGTACAGGACACATCAAAGGGGGATCAAAGGACCACAGACAAAACAACATGTGGTGTAAGAGACTCACAGGGACCGCTTGCTTACCCCCATTGAGCAGCAGTGGGGATCTAGAAGCACTGAGCATGGAGGCCTGGGTTCTGTCTGGTATCCTCCATGCCCAGGGTAGCCACCTGTGCTGCCAAACCTGGTGTCTTTACTGCTGTTCCTGTCATAGATCCTATGGGAGCCCCAGCCCAGGACCAAGGCTTCCTGGAGCAGGGCGTGGAGCTAGGAGTGGAACAGAGGAGCCATTGAGCTACCCACAAGAGCTGCCACCTGGTTGCCCCATGGGCAACTGGCGACTGGCGCTGGGAAAGCCCATGCCAGCCTGGGATGGGCTGTGGCTCTAGGCACAGACCCAAAACTCCAGAGAGAAACATTATACTATGCGTGGCTCTGATCAGACCGGGCGAGGAAAGACGAAGGGCCTGTGTGGATTGGAGACAGGGAAGGGGCATCAGGGGGCTTGGACCAGGAGTGTCTCTTCATCCCCGTGAGCAGCTTCTGGGAACACAGACTCACTTGGGGAGACTAAGTCCCCCTTTATGACTCCACCCCACCCAGAAGCATTCTTCTTCCCCTGAATAAACTAGGACAAGTGCTTCCTTTGTCCATTTTCCTGTCTTCTATGAACAGATTTAACATAATGACTGACAGCGTTCAGGCTCTGTGTCCAGCCCCCAGGAAGCTCAGTCTGAAGGAGATCCTGAGTAAAACAAGCATTTACCACACAAGGTGATCACAGGCCAGCCCAGAGGCCCTGTATGGGCCTGGGGCGTGGAAGGAAGTGTTTAGAGGGGCTCCAGAAGGACTTTCTGAAGAAAGAGAAGAATGAGTGAGGATTGGCCAGTCGTGGAGGAACAGGAAAGTGACACGGCAAAGAGAAAATGGTTAAGAGTCCAGAGTTTTCCCGAGAACACTGAGCTAGGATGGGCAGAGAGAAACAAAGAGGAAAGGTAGAACTTGAAGTCGCTTTGTGCTTTTTCTCAAAGCCCTGGAAAGCTGGTGTGAGATTTGAAGTGTCAGGGGAGTCAGACGCTATTGAGAAGCTTCCACGAGTGACGGGTGCGGACAGGCAGAATCCCCAACAGCGGACAGGCTCTGGAGCCCCCTGGGTTTAGGAGTAAGCGTGTGGATGCCGTTGGTCTGTGTAGAAGCAGCGTATATGTAAGTGAGTACATTTCTTTTCTCTGCCTCCTGGAGAAAAGAAGAACACCAAGGGCGAAGAGAAAAGGGGTGGTGATGGAGTAGAGACATTTTTCTAGTGCCTTCTGTATGCCAGTGAGCCCCAGACTAGTAGATGGTGCTACAGATGGGTGGCACGAGATGGTGGTCTCAGGCAGAGACGTGAAGAGGGAGGCGAAGGAGCTGAAAACCTGAAGGAAAGGCTGGTAGAGGCCACTAGAATGTGCTTCAGAGGTTGCTGGAGGCCAACAGGGGTTCAAGCAATACGTTGAAGGGACCCTTGAATTAGGATTAGTTCCTTCTGTTCCTCTGTCCATGTCTTCCTTTGTAGCCCAGGCTGGCCTCAAAACTCTCAATCCTCCTGCCTCAGCCTCCTGAGCTCTGGGATGACAGACAGGAACCACCCTGCCTGGTGTCCTTAACTAAGGGGAAGGGGGTGGGTCCCCATTCCCAAATCCTCTCACTCAGGGCAGAGTGGTTCCCCCAACAGCTCTCCAAGGCCTAATCTACTTCAGAACAAATGCCTAGCATGGAGTAGGGAGAAAGGCAGGTTTTCCTCACACCACCGTCCCCGGAGCCACTCCTAGTGGCCTAGAGCTCTAGGGTGCTGGCGGCTCTAGGTGGGCTGGGCTCCGTCTCCCCAGGAAAAACCAGTGCCCAGCTTGGAGAAAGGCTCTATTGTCTCCAGTGGCTGCCCCGCCCCCACCCACCCACCCCCAGCCTTGAGCACCTTGGGCGCCTTGCAGGACCGGCAGCTTGTGGTTAGCTCTGCCTTGACTGGAAGCAAGGACAGAGGGGTGGCTGTGAGCCACTGTGTGGGAGAGACGGACAGCTTGGGACATAGAGGACTAAGGCCTTTCCTGTCCCTGTCCTCTGGAAGCCACGGGGATTTCAACAGGGCCTCAAAGCTACCCGAAAGCATATTTCTTCCTGGTCAGCCCAGACACCCACTGGTGGCAGATCCGACGGTTCTTTGTACAAAGAGCAAAGCTTCCAATCCTGAGTCCCCCACTTAAGCAAAGTGGTCTTGGGGCCTCCTGTTTCTGTAAATGGGGATAATGATGCCCATGTGACAAGGACCCTTGTGCAGGTCAAACAGCAGAATGGTGACCAAGTGGGTGCTCACCATTCCTTCCTGCCAAGAGGAGCAGCGGCAGCGTGGAGCACACTAATCTCTTAAGTTCTCTCACCATTCTCGGCTTGCTACTTGAACTCTCCTAACACCTTAGTAACCACTCCTCCGAATTAATTCCTGCCTTTGAACCACCACCTGGTGTAGACACGTGTTCTTCTTGGACAGTAAGACCCTACAGTAAGTAGCCTCTTCCTGGCTATTTAGCCTGGCATATGGCCCCGAGACACAACATTTGCAGAGAAGAGAGATGTACCATTTTGGCAGTCGGCTAGAAGTGGGGGACTCTGCGAAAGAAGAGCCATAATAATAGCCTGGTCCCCATCCAAGCCCCAGAGCCCATCCTTGGGGAGTTAGTTGGGATCCCAGTCCAACACAGCTTTCCCAGGACTCTTGTTCCTGTGGTCAGTTAGGGAAGATCCGAGCTGTCTGAAGCCTGCTGTCTTTGCCCTCCTCCCACAGTTGGCAATCCTAGAAGACTATGCGGACCCATTTGATGCTCAGGAGACTGGTGAAGCCACCTCAGGTGCTCCAGGGGCCCCAGAGAAGGTGCCTGAAAATGATGGCTACATGGAACCCTATAAGGCCCAAAAAATGATGGCTGGTGAGTGACAGGGGCGGAGGAGATGCTCAGGAGATGCTCCCTGAGGTGTAGGCTCTGCAGAACAGACTCCGGGACTCATACATCTTTGGGACTACTTTCTTGGAGAAATACAGAGAAAGCCTTTGTCAGATCCCTGGCAAGATGGCCCCTGCATTTAAGATAGAGTCATTTCGGAGACCAGAGCAGAGACTCATTGAAACTTGAGGCCTTAGAGGAGGTCATGCAATATAAAGTCAGGTAGAAGCATTTGAGATGGTTAGGAATGGCAAGGTTGAAGCATGGGCTAGAGAGCAAGGATCCCCAAAAGAGGAGCGCTAGCTAGCTCTGGGGAAGAGTGATAAGGTTCAGGTGACCTTGCACTGAAGTGAAACAGATTTGGACAACTAGAAATAGGACTAGAAACATAGAGAACCATAGGAGCCATGAAATCGTTCAGAATTAAGGAGATCCTTGGGGATCCGAAGCCAAAAGAAGATCCAGGGAAAGAGTTCACGTGGGCGCGGGGGAGGGTGATCAGAGAGGAGAAGAGTAGATATGTGGAAACCAAAGCCCCAAACAAGCTGAAAGGAGGGATGGTAGGGAAGGGATGGTCATACTTGAGAGCTGAGATGAGCAAGACCAAGAGGGCACAGGGAAGCACTCTGAAAACTGCAGCGAAGGATTTGGATTTGCTCCAAAAGGGGAAATGGACTCATTATAAATTCCTAAGCCAGAAAGACTCAGAATTAATGTGACATTTTAAGAGGATTACTGACGTCTTGGTGTGCAGAATGGACTAGAAGAACCACACATCAGAAAGTTGAGTGAGCAGGCTTTTTGTGGCAATCGTTGGGGGTTCTTACAGGGCCAATAATTAAAGACCTCTTTCTTCCTCTCCTGAACTTGGAAATAACTGAGACGTAAGATTAAGGAAACAAACAAATGGAGATTAAAATGCCAGCTCTGTTACTGACGGAGACTGTTTCTTAGTTCTGTGACTACAGTGGGTGACAGAATTGAACTTGCCCTCTTAAGGCTTTGGCAATTCAGGGAAGCGATGGGTCTCGTGCGTGGGGGCAGGCCATTCACTGCATAGAAAAGAAAGAACTAGAATTGTTCTGTCTCTGCAAGGAGGCAGAGCTGAGGAAGAGCATGAGCATTTGCTAGGCCAGCCAATAAGTTGCTATTCCCCTATGGCGGAGAGCCCTGAGAACTGTTATTCTGTTGGAGTCCTGGAAATGTGAATCTGTGCTCTAGAGGTTTGCTCTGACAGTGATCCAGATAGGAAGACATGAGAGCAAAGAATGAAGAAGTTAGGACCAGGTCCAAGGAGAACAATGTAATGCTCAGAAATGGAACCAAGTGAGAAAGTGGTTACCACTGAGGTCACAGGGGTGTTGTGCCACCAGTGCCCAGCAGTTAAATGTGGATTTTATTTTTTATTTTTTTTGTTGGTCATGGGACTTGAACTCTGGGCCTGGGTGCTGTCCCTGAGCTCTTCAGCTCAAGGCATGCACTCTGCCACTTGAGCCACAGAGCCACTTCCGGTTTTCTGATGGGTTATTGGAGATCAGAGTCTCACAGACTTTCCTGCCCAGCCTGACTTTGAACTGTGGTCCTTGGATCTCAGCCTCCTGAGTAGCTAGGATTACAGGTGAAGCCACCGGCACCCGCCCAAATGTGGAAATTTTTGAGCACACATTTTTCTGGAGAATAGATCCATAGCTTTTTTACCAGATTCACTTTTGAGGACAGTGATCCCCAGAAGCAAATCACTAACTATAGAAGAAGGTGGTGAGTTTGAAACAGCGCGTTGACATCTTTGTTTATGGCCACGGGAATGAGATTAGAAATAGAGATGCGGCAGATGATTAAGAAACAGAGGCCAAGAGCAGGGGGAAAGACCGAATGGGAGTGATGAGAGAGAAGGCAGTTCGTGAAACGGACTTTGTCAAAAGGAAGTTTCAAGAAGTGGGTGGCCAGCAGTGTCTGAGCAACAAAGACTTCCTACTTGTGAAATGATATCGCGATACCATGGGAATGAACCTAAGTGGAAGGTAAATGACAGGTAGGTAGGTAGGTAGGTAGATAGAGAAGGACAAGGAGATGTATTACGGGGGAGGATGTGCCTCAGTTTCCCTAACACGTCAACTTCAGCTTCCTTGATTTTACTAGTCATCATGGGATTCTTTTTCTGTCTCTTTGTCACTTGTCTGCCCCTAATTCCCTTTTCTCCGTGCTGTTAAGAGTCCTGGAAGTGTTTCCAGGACAAGGGATTCAGGATGTGTGGCTGTAGAGTTCCCCCAGAGCGGAGCATCTCCTTGGAAGGAAGCCTGGCTCGTGGCAAAAGATAGCTGCCAAAGGTGGGGGGGGGGGGGGGCATGGCCGGGTAGCTAGGCTTAGCTCATACCTCTCCCTCTCCTGCCCTGGTAGAGATCCGGGGCTGTAAGGAGATGACAGCTCAGCCCTTGCCCTTGTACGATACACCCTATGAGCCAGAGGAAGAGGGAGCCACCCCAGAGGCCGAGGGGTCCCCCTGGCCCCGGGAGTCCCGCCTGCCTGAGGATGATGAGCGGCCCCCCGAAGAATATGACCAACCCTGGGAGTGGAAGAAGGAGCGGATTTCCAAAGCCTTTGCAGGTGAGATTGGTTGAAGCATAGGAATCGATCCCGGGGATCTGGGGACTACGCAGCAGGACAGCGAGTTCCATAGCACAGAGAATCGGGGACTTAGGAGACAGAGCATGCCAGGGAGTAGCAGGCATGGGAGAATGGGCAGGGCATTTCATCCTGGCATTGTCACCTCTCAGAAACCAAGACGTTTGGACTACTTCCACTCTGGGGAAGCTGGGTACACTTTAAAAAAAAAATAAAGCAATTCCAATATGACATGATGAAACCTGTGGCCTGTGTGAAGCACGTTTAACAAATGATGGCATTCAACACTTCAAACGATGGAATAGCTGTGTGTGTCACCTGAATTCTAGGGCTGTGTCTCCCAGTGGCAGACTATGAGTGTCTGGCCCCACAGCATCTCGGAAAGGAATCCCGATTGCTAAATAAAGATCAGGTTTCTCCTGTCCTAACCATACTGTCTCTCCCAGGCCTATCCTCCATGGAAAAGTACATAAGTGCACTCTGACGCGGGTAAAATAAGAGCCACTAGTTGGGAGAGAGCATCATTCAAGATTGAAGTCCTGAATCCGGAGGAATTAAATGCCCCCCTTGGACTTGGTGGGTGGGAGAGACGCTCCTCCTGCAGCTGCCCCACCCTGGGCAGCCAGACAGAGGGGAACCTCAGGTTTCTGATTGGCTTCCAGTAAAAAACCGAGTACCATTGAGGATGGGCCATTTATCTCCCGAAGCCTCCTTGGAGAATCAATACTGTTTGGGTTGCTTAATGGGAAAATCTATGCTCATCATTAGCAAACCTCGTTAGCAGGCCCACAGCCGCTGTGGTAGCATCACTCTTCTCAGGATCCAGGGGCAAGATTCAATTGCAAAACAACCCATCTGCCTCCAACTTGAGTGTTCCTGACAACCTGAGCCTCCATGACTGCCCATGACTTCCCAGCTTGGGGAGGAGGAGAAGAGAAAGGGAGAGAGAGACAGAGACAGAGAGAGACAAGGTTGGAGTGGGGTGGGAGGGGAGGTGCTAAGAGTCTGTGGACAGACCTGAGTGTCACTGTGGGAAATGGGAGTAACTCCTACTCCCACTTGGCTAGCTGTCCTGATCTCTTTGGACCCTAGAGAGTTAAGGAAGGGGGCGATCCACGGGCTGTCAGAGCAAAACTCGGGGCCCTGCTGGTCCCAGCCGTCCCCCAACCCCACGTTTTGACCAAGCCACCGTGCTGTGCTTGGTCAAAGTTGTTGACTGCACTCAATCCTCTCAAAGTTCTGTTGCTCCCCAGAAGCTGTCCTCGCCTCTGCTTCAGCACCTCCTCTTTTTTTTTTTTGTTGGTTGTGGGGCTTGAACTCTGGGTCTGGGCGCTGTCCCTCAGCTCTTCAGCTCAAGGCGAGCGCTCTACCACTTGAGCCACAGCGCCACTTCTGCTTTTCTGGTGGTTCATTGGAGATAGGAGTCTCACAGACTTTCCTGCCCCCGGCTGACTTTGAACTGTGATCCTCAGATCTCAGTCTCCTGAGGAGCTAGGATGACAGGCGTGAGCCGCCAGCACTCGGCTCAGCTCCTCCTCTTTTCTAGGCTGTTCTGTGTCCTGGCTCTGGGTTTTAGTGTCTCAACTTCTGCCTCTGTCTGTCTACCTCTGTCACTTGTCTGTCTTTCTCTTCTCCCTTTGCTACTGGCTCCAGTTGACATAAAGGTCATCAAAGACCTACCTTGGCCTCCGCCTGTGGGACAGCTGGACAGCAGCCCTTCCCTGCCAGACGGGGACAGGGACGTCTCCGGTCCAGCCTCACCCCTCCCTGAGCCCAGCCTGGAGGACAGCAGCGGTGGGTCTCGTGGGGGTGGTTCTGACCAGCATGACATGTCCTCGTGAGGCCCCTTGGGGCTTGGGTTGGGGATGCTGAGAGGTGGAGAAGGGTTTGAGAACCCAGGAAGAATCGATCCCTCTTGTCATGGTAGGAGGAGGACGAGGCAGACTGTCTATGGAGCGATGGGGAAGGTAACTGTGAAGGGAGGCCTTACGTCCTCACCAGGCCACAAAAGTCTACTATTTCAAATTCACCTCTTTTGTCAGTTGGGGGGCTTGAACTCCGGGCCTGGGCGCTGTCCCTCAGCTCTTCAGCTCAAGGCGAGCATTCTTCCACTTGAGCCACAGCACCACTTCCGGGTTTTTGGTGGCTAATTGGAGATAAGAGTCTCACAGACTTTCCTGCCCAGGCTGGCTTTGAACCGCAATCCTCAGATCTCAGCCTCCTGAGTAGCTGGGATTACAGGCGTGAGCCACCGGTGCCCGGCTTTAGGTAGATCTTTGTCTAACAGTGCAGGGTATACTCTGGGGGGGGGGGAGTTGAAGGGTGCTGGCACTGAAGAAGGTCTGATCCTGGTTATCTGGTGATTGAAAGAGAGAGAGAGAGACCAAATTCTTCCATCTCCGCTCAGCTTTACCCAGAATGGGTGCTCAGTTGTAGGGGGGGCATCCGTGTGTGTGAGCACGTCTGTACACGTGTGCATGAGAGGGTCTGTCACCTGTGCATGGGTACCTGTGGGAAGTCACTCCCTGGGGTGGGTGGGGGAGGGGAGCCTGTGGGCAGCGACCTTGGGCGCAGGATGACCGGCTGTCTGGCGGCTTTCAGCAGGATTAGCCTGTCAGGATGGCACCAAGGGGAATCGGATAATTGTTCTCAGATCAATAAGTCATTTCTACAGAATGGCTTGGCAGGCTGATTTGGAGAACGGTAATGAACTCTGAGGAGGAGAAAGAAACAATATTATCAGCCCCGAAGCCACCCTGGGGGGGATGGGAGAAGGGATGGCCAGCAGCTGCTCCTGAGGGAGCCGCTTAAGTGGTTTCTGGTGTTTTCTCTCCTTCCTCCCTCCCCTCTCACAGCGACAGGAGGCTGCAAGGCCCTGGAAGCTGAGCCCTGCCCCCACCCCAGCAGGGGATGGGCCCAGGGTTGCGTGTGTCCCCACTGTCCCCACAGTCTGGTCGTGAGCTTAGCTTGCACTGCCCTCGCAGAACATGCACTGCACCTCCTTTGGGAGCTGGAGGAAATAGGGCGCCAGCTATTCCGATAGGACGCCAACTCCAGAGTCCTCAGAATCCATGACCCCTCTCTTCCCCTACAGCCCAGTTTGAAGGATCCGAGAAGGGCTGCCTGTCGCCTGGCCGGGAGGAGAAGGGGAGACTACCTCCCCGACTTTCTGCAGGGAACCCCAAGTCAGCCAAGCCCCTAGGCACGGAGCCCAGCAGTCCCCTGGGCGAGTGGACAGACCCAGCGCTGCCGCTGGAAAACCAGGTGTGAGTGTCTGTGTCCAGGCGGGGACACCCCCTCTCCCTTTTTTTTTTTTTTTGGTCCCCTTTCTGGCACTGGCTTCCCTGTGGGGGGGATACACCCAGAATGGGGGTGGGGGAGGGGACCTGGCTGGAGAGGGACCCAGCAGAGATGCCCACCCCCCCCTTCTTCCCTCTCTCCCATCCTCAGCTGGTACCACGGGGCCATCAGCCGAACAGACGCCGAGAATCTGCTCCGGCTGTGCAAAGAGGCCAGCTACCTGGTGCGAAACAGTGAGACCAGCAAGAACGATTTCTCCCTGTCCCTCAAGTGAGTGGGGCCAGCCATGGCTGGAGTTGCACAGCTGGCAGGGCGGGAGGGGATGCCAGTGTTCCTGCGGGAGCATGCCATCCCTTGTGAATGACTTGTGACTCCACAAAAGACACCTGGGGGGGGGGGGGGATCCTGAGACTCAGCCTCCCTCCCTCCCTCCCTGAATAGGGCCTCAGTGTCCAGTTCAGAAGGCTTCTGTCATTGGCTGAATGGCCTGGGGCTCCCCCTTAATGTGTCTAGGCCTCCTCCTTCCTTATAACTTGGAGTAATAGTCTCCATCTGACAGGCAAGAATGAAGTAACACCCAATCAAGTGCTTAACACCAGGCTGAGCGCTTAACAAATTGTCTCCATCATCATTGGTCATGGAAGCCCAAGAGGTTCTAGAAGTTGACAAGGAGAAAAGAGCTTTGCCCAAGAGAATCTAAAGGGATGAAATGGGATGCTGGGTGCTGGGAGGAGGGCAGGACCGTGGACACAAAGCCATTCTCCTTTGAGGGTCTCAGCATGCGCGTATGCAGGGAAGTTCTGAGCTTTAAAGGCTGTGATGGCCAGCACTGTCCCTGGCTCTCAGTCTCACTCCTCAGGAACAGATATGCACAACCCTAAGCCTCCTGTCCATTCCTAGCAGAATGACCAGCCCTCTTAGCAATCAGGAATTCTACCTGGTAGAGCTACACCCCACACAAGACAGGCTGGAACGGGGTATCTATGTACCTCTAGAGCTCTAATCACTTCCTACCAAATTCGTTGGGAGCATTAGATAACCACTACCAGTCCCCTCCATTCCCCCCTTCCCCCCAAAAAATCTGAGGACGCAGTTCAAAGCCAGCCTGGGCAGGAAAGTTTGTGAGACTCTTATCTCCAATAAACCACTCAAAAACCAGAAGTGGGGGCTGGGAAGTTGGCTCAGTGGTAAAGCGCTTGCCTTGCATGCCTGAGGCCCTGGGTTCGATTCCTCAGCACCATATAAGCAAAAAGAAAAAAGCCGGAAGTGGCGCTGTGGCTCAAGTGGTAGAGCGCTAGCCTTGAGCTGAAGAGCTGAGGGACAGCGCCCAGGCCCAGAGTTCAGGCCCCTCGACCGGACCCAAAAAAAAAAAAAAAACCAGAAGTGGCGCTGTGGCTCAAGCGGTAGAGCACTCGCCTTGAGCTGGAGAGTGCAGGGACAGCATTCTTCAGAACCCAGAGTTCAAGCCCCATGGCCGACCAAAAAAAAAAAAAATCCAATCTATGGAAATATGGAACTGTTAGACCACATTATTGGGGAGATGATTATTCTAAAAGAAAACAGACAAGGCACCAAACTATAGTTAGATACCCTTGGGTTTGATAAAAACTAGCTGGGTGACCCTAGGCAAACCACTTAACTTTTCGGAGCCTTGGTTTCTCCACAAAATGGGTTGGTAGTTATCTCTTAGAGTTCTTCCTCCTGCTCTCCTTGCCTAGCAAACTGAATTATTAAAAAAGCATGGGAGCATTTTGGAAAAATTAGTTTGTCAGCAATTTGACGTACATAACTTTAGTGGTGAATTGCTTTATACATTATCGTTTAAATTCACGGAACATACCAAGAATCATATCCCACCTCCTCATCAACTACCACCCTGTCAGATCTCTTTCTTTCACACCTAAAAGAGATTCAAGGATTAAGTTTTAACTTGCTCAAGATCACCACCTAATAAAGGACCCAAGCCAAGCAGGGTAGCATCTGCCTATAGTCTTAGTTACGTTAGAGGCTGAGGTTGGAGGATCCCTTAAGCCCAGGAGTTCAAGGCTAGCCTGGGCAATGTAGCCAGACCCTATCTGAAAACACAGCATACAGATAGTAAGAGGCAGAGAGAGAGAATATGATAGAATACAGATAGGGAAGACAGGGGAAGGTTGGAGGGAGAGACACAGGCAAGAGAGACAATACATTCACATATTAAGCCCTCAGATCCAGGGTTTAGACTCAATCTGACTACAAGAACCACACTGTTCAGTTGCAGGGCTCCACCCCTTAGTGGGGGCAATGCCTGTGATCCAGAGTTGCCAATGCCAGGGGAGATGCCAGCGGTCTGGCTCCCTGGAGTGGAACTGAGCAGGCCTTGCCTTAGATCGACTGATCTGGCCTGGCCAGCAGCATCAATCTGCAGGGGCCTCGTTTGCATATAAATGGCTTCTCTGAAATACAATTATGGTTTCTCTTCTCTCCCTAATGGAAGGGCTTTCACTGGTAATTAAACAGCTTCCTCAAAGAGCCTTGCCAGCCCCGGCCCTGTGGTCCAGCTGGTCCCACCCAGCTCCCTGAGGACTTGGCAGAGACCTTTAATAATGGACTCTTGGGACCCATTGGGGGGTGGGGGTTTGCACTGCACCGCCATCCTCTCCTCAGGAGCTCAGTACCACTGATAGCGGATGCGTGCCCAGACCCCTGTTGCCCTTCTTGGCTTAACTCTGTCCCTTGACAAGAAAGTCTTAAGGTGTACTTTGGGAAGAGACAGTGTCCCCAAGTAGACTGTGGGGAAGGGGTCAGTTTCACACTGGGAAACAGTGAGGCCCACACTACTTCCCACAGCTTTCATCCTGGGCCTCGGCATGGGGCAGGTGAGGGAGGGTGGCAGTTCCATTGCCTCTCCACGGCCTACCCACCCCGGGGCCCTTTGGCAACCTTCCCCTGGGCCTGCACGGTCTCTGTCAGCCCCAGGCACTATCTCAGACGCACAGGTGGACCCGCACCCTGCTACACACCCAGCCTTCTCACCCCGGAGGCTACTAGGCTCCCAACAAGGCTTCTGCTTGGGAGGGGGCAGGAGTAGGACTTAGAGGCCTGTGAATTTCCTCTGTCCCTTTCTTCCCTCCAGTCTCCCCCCATTCACTTGGTGCCTAGTGAGGTGCCTCCAACCAGGGGAGGCAGGGGGAAGAGGTTTGCCAGCCTCATCAGCCTCACCTCGGAAGGAAGGGGTTGTGCTCAAAAAGGTCCCCTTGCGGGTCCTATTTTGTACCCATCTCTACACCCAGCCCTTGTCCCAGGTGAGCTGGGGCCAACAGCAAAAAAGTCAAGCTTCAGAGTCCCTCCAAACACTTCCTTCCCTCTTGCCTGAGGGCTTCAGATGGGGTTTTGGGGGGGGGGGGGCGGGTTCTGGCATACTAAGCCTGAGGTTTGGATAAATGTTCTTTCTTGCTGGGGGCTTTACCACCATGCCTCCTCTCTTAAGGGATGGAGCTGGCAGGCGCCGGGTGCCATGGACCTCTAATGCCCATTTCCTTGGGTTGTTGTGGGAGAGGTGGTGAAGTGAGGCCTCCCTGGGGAAGGAAACAGAGCTACCGCCTCAGAAAGTGTGATGTCATCCTAAGCCGAAGGGTTGGGCCCAAGGCCCAGATAGCAAAAGGGTAAAGGGGTGTCCCAGGGGGCAGCTGAACATTCCCAGATTTGAGGTTGCTTCCAGATTAATTTGTTTTCTCCCCAAGGCCAAGAGAGAGCCCCAACCGAGACGAGGTGGTGGTTACATGTGTCCACCCATCGTCTGGCCCAGGGCATCTGCGGTGGCTTGTGAGTCATCAGGAGCCCCTCCTAGGCATCCGGGCCACACAGGCGGATGGGCAGAGGTGCTGGGGTTCCCTTTTCCACCTGCACACACCCTGTGCACACCCTGCACACTCACGGTGTACACACTGTCTCTCAGCACACCCAGTGTCCGCACCACAAAGCCAGTGTCTCATGCTGCTACTCATACCTCCGGACTGACCTCCATCTCCATTCACACCCCTCCTTCACACACTGCGCACGTGCGCGCGCACGCACACACACACACACACCCTCAGCTAGCTTCAGAAACCACCATGTCAGGTGTGGAGGTTACTGGAGGACAAGGTGGAGGCTGGGGAGATCCCTCGACCCCCCAAACTCACCAGAGTCTCTTCCTCTTTCCCAGGAGCAGTCAGGGCTTCATGCACATGAAGCTGTCCCGGACCAAGGAACATAAGTATGTGCTGGGCCAGAACAGCCCGCCCTTCAGCAGCGTGCCCGAGATCGTGCACCACTATGCCAGCCGCAAACTGCCCATTAAGGGGGCCGAACACATGTCCCTGCTCTACCCCGTGGCCATCCGGACTCTGTAAGATGGGAGGCCAGGGCACCATGACAGATCTGGACCCAGCCCCGTCACCTGGGATCTAGTAGATGTTGGAGACTCCTTAATTTATTCTCAAGGGCAAGGGCTACTGGGGCCTTGGAGTTAGGAGCGTGTCTGGAGAGACAGGAGAAAGCTCCTAGAGGAAGCGGACTCCAGAGCCTGCTGGTCTCCCGGAAGTTTGCCAACTGGCAGCTGCAATCCCCAATGTTCACCACCACCCCCCTCTCCCTACTGGGTGAGCCTTGGGATGCTAGCCGCCCCCTCCGTCTCCAGCCCACCTCTAAAATCACCCGTAGCCTTCGCCCAGCCTGTTGCCAGGGATTGTGGGGGAGGCAGACCTCCCCCACCCTGGGATGGAGATTGGGGTGGTGGTGATGGTGGTGGGGTTGCCCGTTGGGCGGAGAGAAGCAGAGATCCCACTGTGGCCGAGGGATCTTTGCCGCAGTCCCTGGGCCGCCCAGGCTCCCTGCCAGAGGCAGTAAATAAATCTGATCCTGCCAGGCTGTGGAGCGTCTGCTCCTCCGGCGCCGCCGCCCCTGAACTGATTGGGGGGGGAGCGGGGTGGTGGGAGTGGGGGGGGGTGGAGGGGCGGGAAGCCAGAGCAGATCCTTGTTTATCCATCAGCTGCGGAGCAGACACGGGCAGCAAGTTCTTTGATGAGATGTCAAAATAGCGCCCGCCTTCCTCCCTCCCTCCCCTCCCCTCTTCCCCACCCCATTCCCAGTGTATGGGGGGGGGGGGACACTCAGCGGCCACGTGGCGCCCCCTGCTCACCGCAGCACCGAGCACACGGCTCCCCAAGAGCGCGTCCAATGTCTTGCCAACAGCCATTTGTCTGGGCGGAGCAGAGACAAAGAGGCGGCGCGCCAGGCGGAGGGGGGAGGCGGAGGAGTGGACTGCCGGGCACCTCGGTCCTTTAGGCCGCTGTGCCCACCCCCCACCACTCCTGACTGGATGGATGGATGGGTGGGTGGCTGGGGACCCTGGAGACTTGCTTGCAGGGGAGGGGGGGTGGCGGTATGACACAAAGCTCTGGATGTGTGTGCCCGACGCACGCGCGCCCTCTCGTGGTCACCCCCTCCCCATGTGCCCAGGGCGCTAGGCCACCCACAGCTGGCCACAGCTGGGGCCCCGCTGACACGCCTGTGGGCTCAGCCCCCAGGAACACCCACTGGGCCTCCGCTGCGGAGCAGAGCCGCAGGCACAAGGCTCTGCCCGCCCCTCCTGTTTCCTCAGGGAGAGGGGACGGGGACCGGCCCTGACCCGGCCATCTGAGGACCCTCTGCCACAATCCAAACATGTGCAGGACTCCAGGAGTTTCTCATTCTGTGGCAGTGGATGAGACAACCGTAGAAATGGCTCGGAAAGTGTTTCAGAAATTCCCTCTTGGCGGGTCGCCTGTCTTTTGAGTGATTGGTGAGAGAATCCAGCCACTTTTGGCTTAGGAGACAATAGGCTTAAAAGAGGTTAAGTGCGAGGCACATAACTTTGCTGTCATGTCATTATGGGGAGATGACCCCAGTGGTCAGCTCGCCTCTTGCCCAGAGAAGAGCTGGGAGTAGCTGAGGTCCTGGAAGAAGCCAGGTCAGCTGTGGCTCCCTGCGGGCTCCGGCGTGTCCTCTACCATCCCCTCATCCCTGCCTAGCCTGACCTCCCCCTCCCCCATTACTGTCCCTCTTCCCTTCCTGATCAGGTATCAGAGGCCTCCCAAGAGCTCCCCCTGGGAGAGGAACGGCCTCCAGCTGGGGCCTTTGGCCTTAGGCAGATTCCTTGATTCAGTGAATACTGCCAAACTTAGATGTCTGGCAAGCCGGCTGGGTGAGTAGTTTCCTGAGAGGAAGCTGAGGTCTCACCCTGTCCTGCAGCAGGAAAAAAAAGAAACCCCAGAGGTAGAAAACTGATTTATTTGCAAAAGAGACTATGAGAGCAAGGAGAAAAGGGCTGAGGGACACCGGGGTAGCTGTTGGGCCAGCTATGTCTGCTTAAAAACTTGGGAGAGAATATCAGGTGGGTTAGTTTAGATGAGCGCCGAGGACATTTCTGTAAGCTGCTTTCTATCAGTCCAGACTACCCATTCGGCAAAGCCTTTGCCTGCCCATTTGAAAGTGAGGAACCCAGAAGAGAGGAGGAGCTTGGGGTGGGGAGGGTTCTAAGATGCCAGCATCTGTGCCTCCACTTCATCTTAGGCCTGTGGTCCCCAACACACGCACACACACTCAAATGTCAGCTTGTCTACTGACTTTTGTTGTGGGGGTGTCTTTTTCCACTTAACCTGGGGAAGAGGTCTCACTTTATCCCAAATCAGTAGTTCTCCTACTTCCCAACCTGTAGCTCTCAAACATTTCCTCCCCCACTTTGCTAGGCTGAGATATATCCTGGGCCTAAGACACCTGAGCCCACACATCACATCTGCACATGGCTGCCCAGACTAAGCTGGAGAAAGGACTGAGGCAGCCAGAAACAGGAAGTAGAAGTCAGCTGGCAGCCAAAACCTCTGCTCTGCTGGGTAGTGAGTGGAGTCAACTGGGCATTGGGCCTAGAAGTTTTCATAATGGTGGGAGAAATGAGTCCGGTCCTGTCTGTTGATGAGCTGACAGGCCTTCTCCACATCCTTGGTCATCCCAGGAGGACCACAGCTAAAGACCCCAATCTTCCGGACCTGTATCAAAAGCACAGGCGAAAACTGCTATGTTGTCCATTCACAGAGTCAGCTCAGTGTTCAGAGAGAACGCTAGGGTCAGGTGCAAGATTCAGGCTAGCTTCCCTTACATGTTTAAGACCAGCAAGAGCCAGCGTTCCTGAGGAAGGTCCGCTTCGCGCCCTGCAGGATGAGGGTTGGCTCGGTGTTTCTAATATGAGCCAGCCTCGTGGGCTGACTTGGTATGAGCGTAGTATGGAGGTAGGCCTGCCTTTATGGTGAGGGCTAGTTTCACTTACCGAGCTTTTCTCTTGGGACAAGTCATGGCTTCAGAGTTAGTAAATCTCTTTTGCCTGTGGCTTCTCCTTGTCCCTCTGGGTGACTCTCAGTACCTCTTTCCTCCGGTTACCCAACCAGACTCCCAGGGGATGCATTCTTTCCCTGGTTGAGTTCTAGAAACTTAGCACGCAGATGTTTTGTGAAAGTGCGAAGCTAGTTGTGGGCTGATGGGCTGACCTGTGGGTGGACCTCCTGCAGGGAGTTGAAGAAGGGCTCAAAGGGCGGGCGGCCAAAGTGGGTGATGGAACGCAGCCCCGTGAACAGACTCCGGTTCAGCACCTTCTGGAAGTGTCGCTCACAGATGTACTGGAGGAGGGGACATGGAGGAAGATCACACAGATGCCACCAGGCCCAACCCCTCACCCAGACACGGGTTCTGCCTGCCCCAGCCCGGCCAGGCGTGACCCACCAGCATGGTGGTCCTGAGGTCGAATTTCTCAGCCAGCTGGGTGATGTAGATGTGCACAGACACCAGGTCCTGGCAGTCATTCTCCTCCACCTCCCGGATGATGTCAGCCAGCCACTCGAACTGCCTCTGGGTCCTGGTCACCCAGATGAAGTAGATCTGTGGGCACACATTGGCGCTTAGGAGCCATTCCACTCAGGCTCCCTTATGTTGTAGGAAGCCAGTTTCCACCTGTGCACAGACAGCCTGTACTTTGGGGGCTACTGGGCCAGGCTTGGAGACTAGAGACAGGTTGCCCCAGGGCACAGAGAGTTGGAAGTGATAGGCTACCTGGGGCAGACCAGTGAAGAGGGGAAGGATGGGTGGGTGGGTGGGAAGCAGCTTCCTTTACCACTCTCCACTGGACTCCATCAGGAGGCTGCCCATCACCAGGCCGCCCAGAGGGAGCTCTTTGGGGCTGAGGGACACTTCATAGAGCAAGCCGAGCGCACTAGAGTGCAGCTGCTTAGACCAGTGGGCCAGGAATGAGCCCGAAAGGAGAGCAGGTAGTAGGGACGACCCTTGGAGGGAGGTTCTGGCTTTCCAAGGAGAAATGAGAAGTAGGACTGTGGGTTAAGAAGCAAAAAGGCAGAGCTGGCAAGGATAGAAAAGAGGAAGGGAGCTGTCACTTTCTGAGTGCTGACAGCATCTGGGCTGGGCATGCTGCATTCCAGCCCTCCTGACTCACCTGCCAGGCCCAGAGGGACAAGCAGGGGCCTGCCCCTGGGACCAGGCTGGAGGGAAGGCACCCCATGTAGAAGGGGCTTGAAGATTCAGCAGTATTCCTGGGGATAGCCCAGCCCACTAGCCCTGCCTTGGCCACTTCCCTTCCTCGTAAGAGTTCATTTCTGCCCTACCCTAAGCTAAGCCTTTCTCTCACAGCCAGCAGTGCTTCTTGGGCTGGCCTTCTGTGGAAGAGGGATACCCAGAAGTTGAATGAAGGCACCCCAAGAGACCAGGTGGGAGACTAGGCATCAATAAACCAATTATACCCTTCAGAATTCGGGGATATCCTGACACTTCCCCATCTACCTCTCCACTACCTTTTCCCAGCCAGACGCCGGTGGCTCATGCCTGTAATCCCAGCTACCCAGGAAGGCTGAGATCTGATAGTGGTTCAGTACCAGTCCCTGAGACTCTTATCTCCAATAAACCACTAGAAAACCAGAAGTGGCTCTGTAGCTCAAGCGGTAAGAACGCTCGCCTTGAACTCAAGAAATGAGGGACAGCGCCCAGGCCCAGAGTTCAAACTCCACAACCGACCAATAAATAAATATAAATGTACCTACTACCTTTTCCCAGATGGAGACCAAGAACAGAGGCCAGAGAGGGACCATGGGCTGCTGGGACTGAGGGCCACTCACCTTCTTACAGAGCAATTGGCAGCTGACTGATGACTTGAAAACCAGGTCTTTGAGGATGGAGGCAAAGGGGGTGACCCCAATGCCCCCTCCCACCAGCACGGACACCTCAAACTTATGCCATTCCTGGTGGCCTTCCCCAAATGGTCCATCAAGATAAAGCTGTAGGGAGGACAGTGAGTTAGAGATCAGTTTGCTCACCGCCAGCTACCAGCCTGGTAGGGAGTCATGCAGTGAGGAAGAATCCAACAGGAATGAGAGTGGCCCCTCATATTTGCAATCTAGTCTCCGGGTTCAGGGAAGGGAGGGACACTGTGGGGAGACTGGGGTGGTTAAGGAGATGTGGGGGCATGTGGCACCTCTGGCCTGGGTCTGAGTACCTTTGGGTATCTGGCACAGCTGTCCCCCGTTGGTGGGGAGTAGATCTCCCGGAGCCGAGTGGTCCAGGGCCCTGCTGCCCGGATGTGCAGGCTGAGGGTGTCCTCGTGGGGCGCCGAGGTCAGCGTGAAGGGGTGGTACTCAGTGGTCCCCAGGGCCAGGCAAGCGATCTGCACCCACTGCCCTGACTTGTACTCAAAGCCCTGGGGCCTCTGGAAACGCAGGTGAGTCACTCCTAGGGGAGGGATGGTGGGCTGCTGCCCTGAACGAACCATGGCAACGGTGTGGTCCCCGGAGAGCGTCCCCCACCTCCAACCACCGCCTCAGCCCTGCTTCTAGAAGGTCGCAGGGGAGTCTTTCTACCTCCAGAAACTGGCCTTGAGGAGGAACTGGGGATGATCAGGACAAGGGGAAATGAGGCCTAAGCGCCTGCACTCTCTGGTGAGAAAGGTTCAGTCTCCCGACAAAAGAGCGCTCTCTCCCTTTTCCCCCAGATTCCTTCGTGCAACTACGTCAGCCCACTGCCATGCCAGTCTGCAGGAGACTCTTGGCCAGGCTCTGCCCCTGCCCTGTCAGCTGCTTCAGTGGCCACTAAACTGCTTCCCTGATCACCGCCTCTGGCCTGCTTGATACCTGAAGGCAGTAGCTCTGCCTTCACAACGCTGATCTCCACTTTCTTCCGGCTCAGGCTCACCAGCTTGTCCCCCACATAGATAAGTGCTGGGACCAGGAAGAAGATGTGGAACCGGGGCAGCTGGATCAGAGCAAAGCTGCCGTGGATGATGAGCTGGAGAGAGCCAAGAATACAGAATTCAGCTTAGTCCCAAGGATCCCTGTATTCTTCTCCACTGGTCCAGGTCCATCGAATCCCCACCACACCATGTACCACACTTCTCCCAGATGCTAAGACTTCACCACTCCCAATTCTGTCTTCCAAAGCATTCGATGAGAATACTATTTTCCATCTCCCTGTGACCATCTTAAAGCAGGCTATGTGACTCCCATGCAGTAGCTGAGACTCTTCAAGTCAGGCCTTGAACACACTGGGTAATTTCTGTAACCACTTGAGCAATGTTGCTAGCCCTTTTTTTCATTGTGTGTGTGTCCTGGCCCTGGGCACTGTCCTTGAGATTCTTTTTCTCAAGGATAGTGTTCTACCACTTGCACCATGGTGCCACTTCTGGCTTTTTCTGAGTAGTTTATTAGAGATCAAATGTCTCACAGACTTTTCCTGCTCAGGGTGGTTTCGAACTTTGATCTTCAGATCTCAGCTTCCTGAGTAGCTAGATTACAGACAAGAGCCACCATCATCTAGCTGTTCATATTTTTGTGCTTGCTTGTTTTTGTTGGTCGTGGGGCCTGAACTCTGGGCCTGGGCGCTGTCCCTCAGCTCTTCAGCTCAAGGCTAGCACGTTACTACTTGAGCCACAGTGCCACTTCTGGCTTTTTCTGCGTATGTGGTGCTGAGGAATTGAACCCAGGGCCTCATGCATGCAACACAAGCACTCTACCACTGAGCCACCTTCCCAGCCCCTGTTCATGTTTTTGAGACAGGGTTGATAACTTTGCCTGGGCTAGCCTTGAGCTAGCCTCTCTCTCCCCAGTAGCAAAGATTACAAATGTGCACCACCCAACTCTGATGTGACTTTTTGAAGCTGTGCTTTTATGTCATCCCCCGCTAAAAACTTTCATGAACTTTGTTTGTCTACAAGGCTTTGGCGTACCCTGACCTCTTCCTGGCAGCTGGGTTTCCCTCCCTGTTCCTTAAAGTCAATACAGCAAGTCTTTTCTGCTGCAGGACTTTTGCACTTGGGGTGGCCTGGGCTGTCCTTTCCCTGGTTCTTCCCATGGCTACCTTCATCTCCTTTTTCCAAGTTGCAGCAGAAACGCCACCTTCTCCAGCCTTCCCTCAGGTCCATCCCACCTTCCTTCTGCTCACTCCACAATCCCTGTCATCAGCCACAACCATTTTTTTTTGGCCCATTCACTTACATGTTTACTATTGCTCTCCACACTGGACTCAAAGGATGGGAACCTTCAGTTCAATACACTCTCCGTTCTTAGCATCATCTGCGTGGCTCCCCCTTTGGGAGACTAAGAATACCTAAGTACCTCCTTTCCTTGCAATAACTGATAGGGATTGTCCAGCTCTGGTTCTTTCCTTGATAATCTTGTCTAATGTGGGTACACACTACTTGCACCCACTCTTCCCACTCACTGACTCCCAAGTCTGGCCGGTGTGGTTCCACATTTGTCTCCCCTTTGTTCCTGCCCACCACAGTCCCACCAACCCCGAGAATGGCCAAGCCTTGAAGTCTCCTTCTAGATGTCCACTCCCTCTTGGCAACCTAGGACACTAGTGACAATCCTCCCACCCCCACAGCCTCCTGCTGCGTGGGCAACAATGCTCTACTGGTTGTCCCTCTTTGACTCTTGGGCCCATCGGAACTTTCCAGTTCTACTACTGGCTTATTCCTTCTGCCACCCCCAATCATAGGTGTTGCCCGAGCCAGGTTTCCTCCTCATCTGCTCTTTTTCTTTCTGGGCTTCATCCACAAATAATGACAGTCCCTCAGCTGCGGGTGCAGGTCCCCTGTGTCACCAGCATGTCCACGCGTCACCAGCACAGCCAGGCCTGCTTTGGTCTCCTGAACACCCCACGGCCGTTCCCACTTCCACCTCTGCCCTATTGCCTGGATTCCATCAAGTGTGTGTGTGTGTGTGTGTGTGTGTGTGTGTGTTGTATGCCAGTCCTAGGGCTTGAACTCAGGGTCTGGAGCTAGTATTCTACCATTTGAGCCACAGCACCGCTTTTGGCTCCCCCCCCCCCCCCCCCCGCAATAGTTTATTGGAGATAAGAGTCTCCTGGATTTTCCAGCTTGGACTGGCTTCAAAATGCGATCCTCAGATATCAGCCCCCTGAGTAGCTAGGATTTCAAGCGTTGAGCTACCAGCCCTCAGCTGCTCTTCAGTTTCAACTCCTCATTTCCTGTCACTGTTTAGCTTATCTCTCCTAAAACTTTGGCCCAAGTCCCATCTTTTCCCTAAAGTCTCCCCTAACCAGTTCAGTGCTGGTAAAACCCTCTTCCTATAACTTACTATAGGAACTTCTGCTCAGCAGTGCATGCAATATTGTGTGTGCGTGTGACTCTCTGTGCAGTGAATCTGAGGTTCTTCAGGGTCAGATTAGAGTTTCCTCCCCTGCTAGAACTCACACAGAGCTAATGCATAAGAGACCTCCGCCGATGATTGAACTTGGGTCTCACCTCCAGGAATGCTTTCCCTTCATTGAGGGTTCCCAAAGTCCTTTTTTTTTTTTTTGGTCGGTTGTGGGGCTTGAACTCTAGGCCTGGGCGCTGTCCCTCAGCTCTTCAGCTCAAGGTGAGCGCTCTACCGCTTCAGCCACAGCGCCACTTCCGGTTTTCTGGTGGTTAATTGGAGATAAGAGTCTCACGGACATCTCTGCCCAGGCTGGCTTTGAACTGCAATCCTCAGATCTGTCTCCTGAGTAGCTAAGATTACAGGCGTGAGCCACTGTTACCTAGTGCCCCCCCCCCACCAAAATTCTTGATCTTTATCTCCACAGGACGAACTTAAGCCTCTGGGAGCTCTTCTCTGACTTGGCTGTGCTTTCTCAGAGTTCCTTACATTTTGGAGTTCCCTCACCCCCAAAGTTCTCCAAAGCCTTCAGCCAGTCTGACTACAATGGCAGGGTGACCTCATACGCCTCTGTGTATACACCACATTTGGGGTTGGCTTTACTTTTTAAGCCACAAAGCTGCTGTAGACTCCTGCTCTGAGATGCTGGCTCCCCCTCTTCAACCTGGATCGGGGGGCCTGGACGTCCCTCCCCAGGGACCTATATGAGGATCCTTTACCAAAGCCAAGTGGTCATGTGAGAGGGAAGGGTCTATCCTGGGCTAATGGCCAGGATAGCATTGCCCAGCAGAGGGAGCTGGAACATTTCTAAGCCCCTTAACTTTCCTGCTGGCGGCTCTCTGTATCATAGTGACTGATAAAGCAGAAAGAAGTCTTGGGTCTGAGGGAGCCAGGCTAGCTCCTCTTCTGGGTCTCTCCACCAGTTCAAAGCAACTGCTGTATCACCAGGAACAAGTACATGGCCTCCATTCCTAGCAGAAACCATAGCCTGGGATGCTGGCGCTCCACCCATTACTGAGAAGATGGGTGGGAGGAATAAATTAGCCACAGCGCTCCAAAGAGGAAGTGATTTCTTTGGAAATAACATCAGCAGTTGTAGGAAACACCTTAGGCTTAAGTCTGGGTCCCTTGAGAACCATGAGGTGCTGAGGTACAGGCAAGGTGGAGCAGAGCCTCCTCCCCGCTACAAGTGAGGACAAAACTGCACCTGGAAGGGACAGGCCAAACAGCATGAGCGTCCTGTAATTCTAGCTACTTAGGGGGCTGAGATCTGAGGATCGTGGTTCAAAGCCACCCAGGGCAGGCAAGTCTGTGAGACTCTTTATCTCCAACAAACCACTCAGAAAACCAGAAGTGATGCTGTGGCTCAGGTGGTAGAGTGCTTGCCTTGAGCTGAAGAGCTGAGGGACAGCGCCCAGGCCCAGAGTTCAAGCCCCATGACCGACAAAAAAAATAATAATAATAAGACAGGAGCAAATGGTGGATTCTGTTTCAGAACAAAGAAGACCCCTGTGTGCAGTTCTGCCTGGGGATAAACAGGCTTGGCCCTAGGCCTCTAGACGCCTTGAATGCTGGCAACCAAGCCATGGACTGTGGGAACCATAGGGGACCTTGGGACTTGATTTAGCTTCTCATTGAGGTCCCGGGTTGCCCTTTGGTGAGCTGCAGACAAGCAGTGACAGCAACAGAGATACATGCCAGAGTCAGCAGGGGAACTGACCAGGAAAATCAGCTGATAGCAAACTCACAGAAGATGGAGGGCAACAGACAAAGGGGGGAATGTGAATGAAGGGCAACAAGGGACTTAGGTGAAGAACTAAATGGAATAGATGGAATCTTAAAAATCCATCCTGGGCTATGAATGTGGCTCAGTGGTAGAGTGCTTGCCTAGCATGCATGAAGCCCTGGCTTCAATTCCTCAGTACTACATACACAGAAAAAAGCTGGAAGTGGCGCTGTGGCTCAAGTGGTAGAGTGCTAGCCTTGAGCAAAAGAAGCTCAGGGACAGTGCCCAGGCCCTGAGTTCAAGCCCAAGGACTGGCAAAAAACAAAAAAACCATCCTATCAGCGATCCTAAAGATGATGAGAGCAAGCTCATGAACCTTACAGGTAGCATTTAGCAGGGTGGGAAGGCAAACACTCCTCACCCCCCCCCCCTTCCAAAGAAGACCAGGACAACACTTGCCAGGAACTCACTTAAATTTCTCCAAACAAAGTGACTCCTCCCACAGTTTACCCCCAGGAGCCAAAGCCCAGCTATTCAAAGGCAAGGAAGACTGCGTGGGCCAAAACGATATGGGGGAGCCCGGAGTCTGTGAGGAATGTAGACCAGCCTGCAAGGATTGCTAATGCAAAACCCACGCCAGGGAGGTGCTCTCCAAAGGTTGCCTATTGGGGTGAGCCTCCTGGGGAACCCCACAGTATAATTTCCACCTTTACAGAGGGACGTGGAGAAGTGGATGCTTGAAATAATGAAAGAGGATGGAGGACGGATGTCCTATGTGTCACTCATGGGAATGCCCTGCCCGTGCCCAGCTGGCCCTGCGCATAGCCGAAAGCTCTCACCAGGACATAGAGCAGGATGTAGAGGTGGTGGGTCAGCCAGAAGCCTCGGAAGCTGCGTCGGCGGAAGTGGTGGGAGGCGAAGACATACATGACTGCCAGGACCAGCAGCAGCACGACGCCTGTGAGTCCTGCACAGTGAACAGGAAAACAGGAGGGTTGGAGACACGGGCAGTTCTGAGGTCCCTAGGGTCAAGGATCCACTCCACTTCCCTAAGTGGGAATGGCAAAACTCACGTCCTCCTCTGCCCACCCCCACCCCCCATACCAGCCACTTTTCATCTGTGTGATCTTTTTTTTTTTTTTTTTTAATGTCTCTTGCTTTCTTGACTCTTAGGTCCACAGGAACAAGCACTGGGCTAAGCTGGCTCATCATAGAATCCTTAGTGCTGGAGACAAAGCCTGGCACGCTATAGGCCTTGTATAAAGGTGTGCTGCAGAAATGAATGAACGCAAGGAGAGTTTACTTGGCTCGTTGGGGTCATGTATTAGAAATTGCAGAGCCCAATGTTCATGGAGTGAAGGTTTGGTCCTTGTCCCCCTATTACTATACCTGGCTCTTGGCGGCACACCACTTGAGCGCTATAGCATCATTAAGGCATGGATTGGGACGACATCATCTGAGCTTATCACCTGATCTCTCAGGACCAGCCTGGAGTGTGTAGAAAGAAAGCCTCTTCCACTACTAGAGAATCCCAGACCAGGCCAGAGCTACGTGGAAGGGATAATGCTGAAGCCCGGGTTGGGGTTGGGGAATGAAAGCCCAGAGAACAGTCCCTCAGGTGATCAAGGAGGAGAAAGGCAGTAATTAGGACGATTAGAGGCCCCCCTCCCCCTGAAGTGTGGAAAAGCAAAGGTTAAGAGGACGAATCAACCACAGCCTGTCAAATCCTGAACTAAGAGGAGAGCATAAATACAACCTTATCCACCAAATCCCCGCGTGCAGGAATTAGCAAGCCCCCTCTGAAGTTCAAAGCAGAGCTTTTTAGGATTTAAATAAATAAATAACCCACACTGTTTCACGGAGAGAAGAGAGTATAGGAAAAAAAAAAAAAAAAGTGTTACCCTCCACCTCCTCCCAGGAGGGAACAGACTGGAAATATAAATAGACCCAAGAAGAGTTTGAAGAGATTCACAGCTAATCGCTCTAAAATGGATGATTACAGGGAGTTAGGAATAGGCCCCTAAATAGCCCTTGTCAAGACATCTTACAAGGTGGAGGGGTGGGGGAGGCTTCTGTCTGGGTTTACAAAGAGCCTGACTCCTCCCTTGCACAACTAGAGCATAGCATTTCCCCAAGCTGCTGTTGTGCTTGGGATGTATGCGTGGAGGAGGGCTCCGCTGGACACTACCCACATAGGGGCTGGTTCACTAGACCTAAGTCAGAGAGGATCTACATCTTCTGCTCCGCAGGAGGGTCACCAGGCGGAGAGAGCAGAGCCTAGTTTCCCAGTGAGAGCCGAATGAGTCTGGACTGCTCTGGGACAGCATGAACCCAGAGCCTTGGTGTTCTGAGTCAGGCTTGGAAAATCACGGAGGGAAAAGGCTCTCACCTGGTACGGTCTGGAAGAACCACCAGTAATACTTCTGGGGGAACTCAGACCTGTGTGTAACAGACAACCATGAGTAACCCCCAAGAGGGGGAACATCTGGGGGGGACCACCCAAAGGAGACACCCCAGCCCCGCCACCGGTCACCCCTGCTGACTTGAGCTTAGGAGTGTAGGCTGCTGGTGGTTTTTCCCAGAGTCTGGAGGATAACATGTTCCTCTGGCCAAAACGATTTGAAATTTTCCACATGCAAGAAATCCTCACCCCCCCCACACACACCCTTTCCCACTTTTGTCTGTGAATACCTCTACATACTCACCCATCATCATGGAAGAGGCCAGGGAAGAGGCAGGAGAGGATGCTGAGTGGACTGATGGAGAACAGGTATACATTGACCACATGGCCCACGCTGTGTAAGACTAAGAAAGAAAGATGGAAGGGTTGGGCCCCAGGGATTCCTAAGGACCGCCCAAAGGTAGGTGCTCAAGGCCGAAAATGTCAACCAGAGTTGGGAGTCTGGTGGGATGCCAGTGGCTCCCGCCTGTAATCCCAGCTACTCAGGAAGCTGAGATCTGAGGATCATGGTTCAAAACCAGCCCAGGCAGGAAAGTCCATGAGACTCATTTCCAATGAACCAACAAAAAACCAGAAGTAGAGGGGTGGCTCAAGTGGTGGAGCACCAGCCTTGAGCCAGAAAGGTGAATGGACAGACCCTAAGTTCAAGCCCCAGTACCTGCACAACAACAAGCAGGATGGAGGGGTCTGAAGAAGAACCCTAAAAATCTGTATTTCTCGCTCTCATTCTCCTGATCCTCCTGCACACTGTCCATGAATGCAACCACGCGAGTCTGAAGTTACCCCATTAGCAGCTCATTGCTTTGGTTTCTCACACTAAGTTACGCTTTCGTAAGAACTGGGAGATACGCGGTATGCACACTCCTCCTAGGTTGTTAGTAGATTGCCAGCTGGAAGCTGGAGAGGTGTGCTAGAAAGCTGGGGAGAGGAACTCAGGGCGGGGGGTGGGGGGGGGAAGCCTCTAAGACTTCTTTGCCAACTCCATCCTTAAAGCTCTCAAAGCTGGGCGCCGGTGGCTCACGCCTGTACACCTAGCTACTCAGGAGGCTGAGATCTGAGGATCGCAGCTCCACGCCAGCTGGGGCAGGGACATCTGTGAGACTCTTATCTCCAATAAACCACCAGAAAACCAGAAGTGGCGCTGTGGCTCACGCGGTAGAGCGCTCGCCTTGAGCTGAAGAGCTCAGGGACAGCGCCCAGGCCCAGAGTTCAAGCCCCACGTCTGACAAAAAAACAAAAAAAGAGCGGCAGGCCCTTGCCTGTGAGGACGATGGCAGTGGAGGCGATGAGGCGGTGGAAGTCCACGGCGGCATCGAAGGGGATGTAGCGGTTGAGGAAGGTCTCCCGCAGGAAGGTGAGGAGGTTGCGGCACATGGTGAGCAGGATGTAGGAGAACATGAAGGAGATGCTGGCTGCCGTGCCCCGGGACACGATGATGCCCACGCGGGTGGTGTCGGTGATGCCCTTGTGGTGTGCTGCAAAGGCGTAGTCTGTGGGGGGTGGGGGTGACAAAGGGACAGAGGTCAGAGAACCCCATAAACGGGGCATTGCCCGTGTTACAACACCTCCCTAGGAAAGCCTTAAGGCCCTGACCTCACACCCCAATGCTGCCCTCCCCTCTGAATGGGTCATCAAACCCTGGACACCTGCCACTCACAACAGACCAACCTTCACACACACATACACACACAATGCCCACTCATTCACCAGGCTGCCAAGTGCCCACCACAAGCCCTGCCCTTGGAGTTGGTCCCTTGTCCCAGGGCCCTGCCCCCAGGAGACTCTGATCCTCAGCTCTGTGCATTACTTCCGCCGCCCCCCCCCATTGCAGTAAGTGATGCCCCCCCTCACAGTAGGCCCTCTCCAGGAAGAGCCCCCCGGAGATGGCGTAGAACACGGCCACGCAGCCGATGTGGCGCCGGTAGTTCTCAATGAACCGCTTGAACTGCTGGACGGTCTGGTGGCGCCAGCTGCGTTGAAACTTCTCTCGGTGCGCCTCGGTGAACAGCAAGGGCTGGAAAGAAGTTACCCTGGGGGAGGGGAAGGGGGGGAGGAGGGAGGACACAAGAAGTCTGAGCTATTTATCCCCCCCAGGGGGACATTCCCCCCCTCCCTGCTTCTCTGGGGTGAACTACTGAACAAACAGGGGCTTTCAGTCACTCACTTAGAAGCTGGGTTCAGACCCCCCCCCCCGACTCCTTCTACTAAAGGTTATTCTGCACTCTGAATAATTCTGTACTCTGTGGGTGCAAAGGGCACCCACAATCAGCCTCTAAGGGAAGCTCACAGGACACCTCCTCCAGGAAGGCTTTCCTGACTTTCCAAGCAAGCCTCTTGCTCTTAAGCACTGCTTTAACATTCACCCGTGGGGCATTGTCATCATCAGTGTTGCTGGACTCTCAGGCAAGGGTGGCATTTCTTGGGCAGTAACTGTCTGCCTCCCTGGTGGTGAGCAGAGGGCCTGGCATGAGATGTTGAAGGGGTGGATGGGCTCAAAGCGGGTAAGAGCCGACGTACTTCTTGCCAAACCTCCGCCGGATCTCCTGGGGTGGGTCTGTGTCCCGGGGGCACTGCAGCCTCTGCGGTGGTGTCATCTCAGTCCTGACGTTGTTGCGGGCACTTACTCTGGGAGAGGGACTAGGAAGGAACACAAGAGCTAAGACCTTGGCCACTTCCTGCCCGTAGCCTGCCTCCAAACTCACTTTCTCTGGAAAAGCCCAGAGCTCTCCATGAGAAGACAGTGGGACTCCCAGAGAGATAGAGACAGAGAGATCCTTGGGTCCTATATTTGTACCCACCACAAGGTCACGTGACCCAGGCAGTGAGCACGGAAATCTAGTAGGTTTGTTGGAAGGTACTATATGGAATAATCTGGGTGCCCCCATCCCAGCCGTTCTAGGGAGAGAAACGGCAGTTCCCAGAGAGAGGCTCACCAGATCATCTCCTGGCTCATGTAGGAAGCCCGCCGGCAGAGGTTCTTGATAACTTCTGGTACCTCCACTCCTGCAATGAATGCAGAGCTCGGTTAGAAAGCATCTCAGTGCCCAGAGACTAGAGAGCCTGGCTCAAGGCATGGCACCCTACTTTCCCATGTTCATACCTAAACAGAGTCCTCCTTCAGTGGACACCGTGACTTTGCAGGCACCCCAACCTCAGCCCTTGTCTCTAATGGACATTGCACCCAGACTTGTGTGGGTGAGGAAAAGGAAGGCATGAGGTGAAATTGACCAGACAGGCATCCATGAGGATGTGTGGCACTACTAGGACTGGTATGGGGTATGGGGGTAAAATTCAGAAACTATGTAACTTGCCTGTTAAAGCCCCTTTTGCTACAAAAACAAACAACTCTGTCAAAGGCCCTCCAACTTAAAACCTCCCAAGAGAGAAATATACAGTCCAGGTGATAGGGATAGGGGAGATCACTCAAAAACTCTTTCTACTTTGCTTTTAAAAAAAAAAATGTTCATAATAAAATACCAGGGAGGGGGGAACCCCACTTCATTGTTCCTGTCTTGGCTGACAGGGCAAGATGGAGCTACAAATCCAGGTTCTTGTAAAAGGCCCAGGAGTCTCTAGGACAGTTTTCCAGTGCTGAACCAATCTCCATGTGAACCCTGGTCTACAGCCAAGGTCAAAAGTGAGTGAGCTGATGTAACTGGAATTTGAGTGTTTAAAACAAAGCATAATGGTCTATACGCTTAAATGGTTCAATAAACAGCAAATCTGGCAAAAAAAAAAAAAAAAAAAGATTAGAAAAACAAGGGCAAATCTAGGGGAGAAGTAAAGGGCTGTTTGTATTGTTCTTGTTGTTTTGTATAGTTCAAAAATCGATGAAAATAAAGTCTGGAGGAAACAATAAAGCACATCAGTGATTAAAACAAGACAACAAACAAAGCTAGCCCTCTGCTTCATCCTCAGTCCCTGTCATTATTGGATGTCCCTGGGCCTCAGTAGCCAGGTTTATGGTCTGCCTCCAGGAAACTCTCATACCCCTACCTTAGACTCAGGAGCCCACTACCTGGGAAAGATAGAAAGCTTCTTTACCAACTCCCTTCACCCCCCGCCCCCACCCCCAGGGCCAGGAAATACTCTTGCACCCACATTTTCTCTTAAACTTGCTCCTGGTTCCCCATGGAATCTGCCCTGCTCCCCACTCTTCTCATAATCCTGGGAGGGACTGGGTTTGGTCTCAACATGTCCCAGTGAGAATCTGAAACTGAGAAGACATCGTGCCAGTTCTCAGAGAGAGGAGGCCACTCACAGACCCCTTCTGCCTGCTCCCTGCCATTCTGACTCCAGCTTCTATTAACTTGAGCCAGACTCAGGCAGGGCAGGGAGCTGGGGGAAGGATACTTAGCCAGGGGGAGTGTGTGTGTGTGTGTGTGTGTGTGTGTGTGTGTGTGTATGTGTGCACATCCTGATTCTACCCATCCCACCAGCAGGGCTGTTTAATGACTGTTTTTGTCTTTGGGTTTTTTTTTTTTGGGGGGGGGGGGCCAGTCCTAGGGCTTGAACTCAGGGCTTAGGCACTGTCCCTTCTTTTGCTCAAGGCTAGCACTCTACCATTTGAGCCACGGCGTTACTACCAGCTTTTTCTGTGTATGTGGTACTCAGGAATTGAACCCAGGGCTTCATGCATGCTAGGCAAGCACTCTACCACTAAGCTACATTCCCAGCCCCTGTCTAATGACTTTCATGAGCCTGAAGAACATGCATCTCAGATCCCTTTCCTCATACAAATAAAACTGTCGATTAGAAAATATATTTTCTAGCTGGGTACACAGTGGCTCATGTCTGTAATCCCAGCTACTCAGGAGGCGGAGATCTGAGGATCGTGGTTCAAAGCCAGCCCGGGCAGGAAAGTCCTTGAGACTCTTATCTCCGATAAACCACTAGAAAGCCAGAAGTGGTGCTGTGGCTCAAGTGGTAGAGTGCTATCCTTAAGCTGAAGAGCTGAGGGACAGCACCCAGGCCCAGAGTTCAAGCCTCACGACCAACAAAAAAAAAGAGAAAGAAAATATTTTTTCCCAATATTCTTCTAACGTATTTTCTAACAATGTATTGGGTCTAACAGAGTAGTCAGGTGGGGCCCATCTGCCTGCCAGCTGGGCCTCACCTTTGACACAGAGCTGTGTGAAGCGGAGCTCGCTGTCGTGATCCCGAAGCATAAAGTGGAAGTCCTCCCAGGTCAGCTCCTCCTTGTCCTGGAAACCTGACTCTCGGAACATGGACTCCACCACCTCGGCCAGCTGGGCCTTGGGCAAGCAGTTGTTGGAGATCTCGATGAAGGATCTGGAGTTGAGGAAGAAGAATCCTCGTACCCAGACACAATGGCCACCAGGCCTCCATTGGCCACATCCCAAGCCTCTTACTAAGTTCTAACAGGAGTGTGGTTATGAAGGTAAAGAGGAGGCCTCCAATTCTCCTTTACACATCTGCTTTCCCTCCCCGAGCAGGTCTCCTCCTTTCCCAAGAAGTCTCTGCCCTTGCTTAATCTCCGGGCCATCGAGAGGACTGACCTCAACATTCTGATGAACTCTTCCTTGGAAATGAGGCCATTCCCATCGAAGTCATACATGCGGAACATCAGGCGAGACTTCTCCTCAGGGGAGCCTGGGAGAAGAAGGACTCTGTGAGGAGAACATGGGCCCACTATCTGGAAACCCTCAGGCTGACCCGAGGCAGCAGGGTCAAGACTCACTGCCAGACCCGGCAAGGGGTCATTCTGCTTCTTTCATTTTTTAATTTTAATTATTTTTTGTCTCCATCCTGGGACTTGAACTCAGGGCCTGGGTGTTATCCTTTGAGCTTTATTTTTGCTCAAGGCTAGCCCTCTACCATGTGAACCACAGAACCACAGCTCCACTTCTGGCTTTTTCAGTAGCTGATTGGAGATAAGAGTCTCAAGGACTTTCCTGCCTCGGGCTGGCTTTGAACCGTGATCCTCAGATCTCAGCCTCCTGAGTAGCTAGGATGACAGGCGTGAGCCACCGGCGCCTGATTTGTTCTGCTTCTTTTAACTCCCCCCTGAGCAGTTGTAGATGTCTGCCACGTCTGGAGATGCAGCCCCATTGTTTCCTATCTCTAACAGCCCAGTCACACCCCAAACTCTGTCCCCATTGCTTGTCCACGCTCTACCCTCCACATAGCTTTTTCTCCTCCCTTACCTTTCATGAAGACCACCAGGATGTCCAGGAACTCCCGGAAGGACAGGTAGCCATTGCCATCTCTGTCAGCCAAAGAGAACATGGACTCCACAAACATGTCCTGAGGCTTGAGACCCAGGGACTCAGCAAACTCAGCCCTGCTCAGCTCACAGGTCAGGGCTTCTCGAACCTTCTGGGATGAGTCCAGTGGCAGGGTCCCTGCATCTGCCTGGTTGATGTCCAACACCTGTACTTGGCCAGCCACAGAAGGAGGGAGAAAAAGAGACAAAGCTGCCTTGAAAACCATGGAGGAACCACCTTCTGAGGGGTCTGCCCATCACTCCTAGATAAGCAGCCCATTGGGCAGTCCCCGGGACTATATTTGTATTATCAAGTCTTGGCCTCTCTGTCTTAGCTGATTGGACCAAACTTGATATAAAGTTGATCGGAGCTGGGGAATCTAGAATTGGAAGTAAAAGTCCTAGATATGTGTTGTCCTGAGCCCCCCAAAATTCCACATGACAGAGACCATGTTTCTCCTTCAGGTGCTCAGAGATCCAGGAAAAAGCAAAAGCAGGGAGCAAACAGAGACAGCCTAATGGAGGAGCAGTCTTGCTTGGTGAGAGTTTTCTCACTGGAATCCCTGAGATGGTTTGGATCCTCGGTGTCACCTGACCCTTGCATCTAAAAGAAGTTGAACTCAGAGAAGGGTTTGAGAAAAGACAATTCTCCTTACAAGCCTTTTCTGGCTCACCCGGGGGCCGCCCTCATCAGAGAACAGACAGGCGACAGGCCAAGGTACCTGTCTTTCCTGCCTATCAACTTGGCTAGTTAGTGTAAGCCTGGTTGTGGTTCACGGGGCCAAGTGTACAGCTTTGAACAGGTGCTTTAATGGAAAGAGCCTGGGGCTGGAAGCTAGAGACCTGGGTTCACGGCTCAACTCTGCTACCTGCTTGCTGCATGACCCCAGGCAGTTCTCTTCAGTCATCTGGGTTTCATTTCCTCTCCTGCCCTGCTCAGCTCACAGGGTTATTGTGACAATCAACAGGAATTGTTGTGTGGGCAAAGTTTCGAAAGAGGAAAGCACCCAGACAGCTATCTGGGATGGACAGCCACTCCCAGGAGACAGCAGTCCCCCCCCCCCCCGACTGCCCAGCACAGGGGCTCCCCATGGCCCTGATGCATTGTGAGGGGCAGGGAGGTTTCCAGGCTCTGCCTGGGCCCTAGCTAGGAATTTTCCCAGTGAAGAACCCTTCAGTTCTCAGGCATTTTTGATATTCAAGCCGTAGAAGGGTTAAATGTGGCACAAATATACACATTGGATAATAGTATGGCAGAGTCCCACAGAACTCTCTCCCTAGCCAATCTTCCTTCTTCTCCACCTCCTCTTCTCCTCTTCCTCCTCCTCTTCTTCTTCTTTTTGTGCCTGATACTGGAGTCTCACTTGCTTATTAGATTTTGTTGTTGTTGTGTTTTTTTGGCTCAAGGATAGTACTCTACTATGTCAGCCACACCTACAGTTGCAGATTTTGCAACTAATCGGAGATAGGAGTCTTTCAGATTTGCCTGCCCAGACTAACTGTGTACCGCCACCCTCAGAGCTCAGCCTCTTGAGTAGCTAGGAATATACAGGCATGAGCTAGCATCTTTCTATTAGTTGTCCAAACCCGCTACATTTCCCCCACGGGAGGGAGGAACTGTGGTTCTCAGGACTGCTTGGCTTGTCCTGCCCCATTCCTGGACGTGACTCCCTCTCACATCCTGAGACAGGATTCAGATGGGGGCAGGGACATCTCTTTGCAGTAAATGTAACAAGGACCATCATCTACTCTTCCCTCGGGCCTGCAGATGCCCAATGGATAACTAAAAGGAGGATAAAGTGGGTGGCAGTGGCTCATGTCTGTAATGCTAGTGATTCAGGAGGCTAAGATGCAGAGGATCACGGTTTTGTTTTGTTTTGTTTTGTTTTTTGGTCAGTCATGGGGCCTGAACTCTGGGTCTGGGCGTTGTTCCGCAGCTCTTCAGCTCAAGGTGAGCGCTCTACCATTTGAACCACAGCACAATTTTGGCTTTTTTTCTTTTTTGCTTATGTGGTGCTGAGGAATCGAACCCAGCGCCTCATGCATGCAACGCAAGCACTTTACCACTGAGCCACCTTCCCAACCCCGAGGATCATGGTTTGAATATAATCTTAGGCAGGAAAGTCCAAGAAATTCCATCTCCAAACTAAGCAGTGAAAAGCAGAGCTGAAGACGTGGCTCAAGTGGTGGAGCACTAGTGGAGTAAGTAAGCAAAGCTGAGTGTATGCAAGGTGCTGACTTAAAAAAGCTGTACTGCAGCTGGGCACTGTAATCCTAGCTATTCAGGAGGCTGAGATCTGAGGATGGAGGTTCAAAACCAGCCCAAGCAGGAAAGGCTGTGAGACTCTTTTTTTTGGGGGGGGGGGTCCGGTCGTGGGGTCTGAACTCTGGGCCTAGGTGTTGTCCCTCAGCTCTTCAGCTCAAGGCTAGCACTCTACCACTTGAGCCACAATGCCACTCCTGGCTTTTTGCTTATGTGGTGCTGAGGAATCGAACCCAGAGCCTCAGGCATGCAAGGCAAGTGCTCTACCACTGAGCCAACTTCCCAGCCCGGCCGTGAGACTCTTTATCTCCAATAAACCACCAGAAAACCTGAAGTGGTGCTGTGGCTCAACTGGTAGAGCACTCGCCTTGAGCAGAATAGCTGAGGGACAGTGCTCAGGCACAGAGTTCAAGCCCCACGACCAACAACAACAACAACAACAAGCACCAGAGAGTATCCAGTTATTATCCTAAATCTTCAGTCATTTTGGATCCCAGGAACATCAAAGCCTGCATTCAGGTCATCCCTTGATGGTATTTCCCTCTTAAGTAGGAGCCCCATGATGGGCACTGAGGCTGCCCTTCCCACCACCCTTTCCCCCCCTCCCTGCCCCCAGACATGAGAAATCATTTCCCAAGAACCAGATGGCCCTCTCAAGCAATGACAGCAAGAACAAGCTCTCAGAAGCCACCTCACAAAACCAGAACTGAGATAATGGTCAGCCAGAGCTCAGTTCTGACCGAGACTGATTAGCTCTGCCTGCTTCCTGCTTTCCCCTCTTCTATTCCTTTTGGACATAATGTGAAAGCTGACATCAGTATTCCCAGAAGACAGGACTGAGATGTTTGACCTCTTCCATCTTCCCCATGTGGCTGTATTGATTAAATTCCTTTCCTACCATTACTTTTCTGCTTAATTTCTGGGGCAAATGGTCAGACCTTACTTGGTGGGACCTCTTCAAATCTGGACCTCCGTTCTAGGGATCCTATAACATGAAGTCAGGTGACTTATCCAACAGTGGTGACAAGCGTTGGTGTTCAGCTGAGAACTCAGCACTTCTGACTTCTTCAGAGTTCACCCCAGGGCCTCATGTGGGGAAGGATGCCACTGGCGGTAAGGATGCCAGCCCACGTACACTCACACGGACAGATCTGATCCCGTGTTACGCACCTGGGAGAAAAGGTGCCTGAAAAAGGTCTCCAGGAGGTGGCTCCGCTGCTCCCGAGTCACCGCCACCCGCATCAGCTCTTGCTCCCGCAGCTCCCACTCCTGGAAGCTCAGCCCACTCTCCTTCAGAGTCCCCCGAAGGTTTTCCACCAGGGCCTGACGCTCTTCCTCCAGGTTAAACAGCAGCACCTTCGGAGGCAGCAGACATAAGAACAATCCTTTGCCAAGGCCTCTTAAAGGCAGGTACTTTATATAGATTATACCAGAGGGACCACTGTTACAGCCTTGTAGGGCCTGGGTGCTGTTCCTGAGCTTTTTGGCTCAAGGCTAGTGCTTTACCACTTGAGCCACGGCTCCACTTCTGGGGTTTGTGGGGGGGGGGGGGGGAGTTAACTGGGGACAAGAGTTTCACAAATTTTCCTGTCCCTGCTGGCTTTGAACCGTGACCTTCATAGCTTAGTCTCCTGAGTAGCTAGGATTACAGGCATGAGCCGTCAGCACATGGCTTCAAAGGCACTTTTACAAAGCTATTCTTCCCCCCCCCCAATTCCATACTGTAAAAGGGGAGGTCAAAAAATGAGCTAGGCAGTCAGTCCGTGATCAGCCTCTAATTTAGCTCCCATCCCGAATTCCTAAAAATCACTAGATCCTGAAATTAAAGGGTAAGGCACAGGACCTAGCTCCAAGGACCCCAAGGTAGAATGCATGAGAATATCCTTAGAAAAGGAGAAAGTTAGCCAGGTGCTGGTGGCTCACACCTGTAATCCTAGCTACTCATAAGGCTAAGATCTGAAAATGGTGTTTCAAAGCCAGCCGGGGCAGGAAAGTCCATGAGACTCTTATCTCCAATAAACCACCAGAAAATTGGAAGTGGCACTATGGTTCCAATGGTAGAGCACTAGCCTTGAGCTGAAGAGCTCAGGGACAGCGCCCAGGCCTAGAGCTCAAGCCCTACAACTAAACAAAGAATGAGAGAGAGAGAGAGAGAGAGAGAGAGGAAAAGAAAAGGAGGAAGCTGACTGTGGCTGCAGTAATAAATATCCTGTAGCCCTAGAACAGGACAAACATGTTCAAGTTTATCTCTCTATCAGGCCCTACCATTGAGGACTAGATGCCAGAAAGCCTGCCTTGTGGCCCAGTGTTCCTTCACTTCCACCTGTCTCACTGGCTATGGCTATGAACAAGCAACCAGAGGCCAGCTTGGCGCCTACCAGGTCATACTCCTTTGGGATCTTGAGCAGCAGGGTGCGGCGTCCTCGATTGCTGGACAGGATGAGGTTGACTTGTTGAGGGAGCCGCAGCTGGACAGTGCGGAGTACCGTGAGCCTGCCGTCTACCACCCGGATCTGCCCAGGCTGTAGGTGTACAAGCACAGGCCGGCAGGGCTCCTTGCGGCCTTGCCATTCCAAAGCTGGGGGGAAAAGAAAGATGGATTAGGCCAACTGAGGCGTCTCCAGAGATACACTGGATGAAAGAGGACCGGCCCAGGATTGGACTCCACAGGTTCCTAGGAACCTCGTTTCCTCTTGGACAAGAAACCCATGACTATCCTTTCTGGAGTGTTCCACATGAGATATTTTTCATCGTAAACCTATGGGGGTGGAAGCTGTTATTTTTACTGGAAAGAAGAAATAGGTTTGGAGAGATTATAGACGAAAAACAACAACAAAAATCTGCCAAAGAGCTGTGGCTCAAGCGGTAGAGCGCTCGCCTTGAGCTGAAGAGCCCAGGCCCAGAGTTCAAGCCCCCTGACCGACCAAAAATACATACATACATACATACATAAATCTGCCAAAGATCCATCCAACAACCAACCTACAGTGGTGGAACTCAGAGTCCAACCCCAATCTGATTCCAGACCTTCATAATCACTTCTCTGTGGCCGCAGTTCCAGGGTGAGATGCCACAAAGCAGACGTCTTCAGGGATTTGTGAGTCATAATAACCCTGGGAGATGTAGGCAGGGTCTTATGATGCTTCCACAAATCTATCATGCTCCCTTGATTTGGGAGGAGCTATTGAAATGGGAAGACTGTAAGTCCAACTTCTATCACCTGCTCTGGCCTTGTCTACAGCTCTAGAAAAGAGATCCCTTTTCCTGAGGATGAAAGTGGAGACTGCAGCCCAGAGCCATGTCCTTCCTATCAGTACTCTGGTTACCTTCTACTCCCCCCACGAGCTTCTCAGACATGACGCTCTGACGGCCCTGGCCCTGGAGCTTCTTGAAATTCCTCATCCGGAGCCGGGCAACAATCCAGGCACTGAGCAGGCTCACTGAAGAGACAGAGACAAGTAGTGAGATGCTCAGGAAGGTGAGATGGAAGGAATTCCCTTCCCAGCTCCTTTCCTTGGCTAAAGCCCCCCTGCTTTCCTCAGCTCCCAAGTCTTATGCAACTTTCAAATTGTGAATGTCTGTGGACAGAGAGCTATTCTACATCCCATGAAGAGTTCTGGGAAGAATTTAAGGCATTCTTCCAACCACCCTTGCTTCTACTACTTAAGCCCCTTTCCAGCCAAAAATGAAGCCCAGAGTCTTTGAGTCATCCGTACATCTGGTCTACCCAGACCTGGCCTTGCCAAAGACAAAGTCCCAGGCACTGCCCCCAGCTCTGGTTCTCAAGTGAGAATTTGCTTTAGACAGTCCCCTGGGTTCCAGCTAACAATTGTTGACTTTGATCTCTCTCAGGCTGGATCCAAGCAGATCCCAGGAGATCAGGGAGGGTCCCTGGAGCTCACTTATCTTCAGCAAGACAATTCTTTTGTGTGTGTGTGTGTGTGTGTGTGTGTGTGCGTGGTGGGGGGCAGAATTGGAGCTTGACCTCAGGGCCTGGGCACTGTCTCTGAGCTTCTTTTGCTTAAGGCTAGCGCTGTACCACGTGAGCCACAGCACCACTTCTGGCTTTTTCTGTGTATGTGGTACTGAGGAATCGAAGCTACATGCATGCTAGGCAAGCACTCTACCACTAAGCCACATTCCTTTACCCTGTTCGCTTCACCTGCTAGAAGGACAACCATGTGTACAGTTTGTTGTCATAGATGGAACCACTCCACCCCAGCCCCTAGCTGGCACCTAGCCCCACCCTGCCCACCCTTCACTTTTACCTAGCGGGAAGCAGCATAAGGTCCCAATAGTGAGCCCAAAGCCAAATCCACTGCCCTCGAAATAGTCACGAATGATGAGGGGGACACAGGTTGGCAGGCCCTCAGTGCTGAGCTGTTTTGGCTGTGGACAGGGGTCTCCTGGGGAGGCAAAAGAAGTCAAGAGTCATGAGTAAAGGCTGGGTAGAGGCTCTGGAACAGGATCACTGAGGTTGTATCACACACACACACACACACACACACACACACACACACACACACACACACTTCCCTCATCATTGTATTTGGCCCTCCTAATGCCCCAACCCCATCCCAGATGAATGTAAGGCTCTCCACCTGTCTCTGAAAGGGCCAATTCCGCCCTGACTCATTCATGCACAGCGCCTCCTAGGGGTGTACCATGTAGGTAGTAGCCTTGGTCCTCAGAACCAAAGTTCCCAAGGGCAGGCAGAGCCATAGCTCACAATCTGGCTGACCAGTCACATCTATGCCATGCTCGCAGGTGAAGAGGGACAAAAAGGTTCCAGACACACACATACCCCTTCGGCCCTCCAGCTGCCACTTACCTGCCAGCCAAAAAAAGACATTGGGCTGCAGAGCAGCGGGTTCCACATTGGTGACAGCCACCAGAACATCCCTCAGGGAAGTGTTTCTGATCTCTGCAATCTCATCCTCAGAAAACAGCCTAGGAGAGGCACAAGTAGAGAAGAGAGGTGCAGAGGGGTCTATGGTCCCCCCAGACTGAGGTGAGGTCCAGGCAGCTCTTACCCATTCCTGGTGTTCTCAAACCAATAGCGGTCACCATCCCGCAGCCGCACAAACTGGTCAAGGACAATGGCGCTGAACAGGGGTCCAGGGTCTCCATGGCTCTCCAGAAACCCACCTGGGAGCAGCTCCAGCCGAGACAGGTCCTGGTTATACAGAGCAGCCGTGGCCTGCAGCACCTGCAACCAGTAGAGGCAAGAATGCGTGAAAGGAGTCAGCACGCAGACTGCAGCAAAGATGAGGCTCCTAGGAATTAGCTCCAGGGATAACAAAGTGGCAGCCACAATTACTGATGCCTGGAAAAGGCTTCTTATATGCCCCAGGCACTGCTCTGGGTGCTTTACCAAGTTAACTCATTTCCGGGAACTTTTCTCCCAGATCCAACGGCCTGTGTGACGAAGTTGGAATAGATCCGACAACATCAGAGCATCTCCCACACATTTTTAAAAAATGTAGTGGGGATTGAATTCAGGGCCTCGAGTCTGCTAAGTGCTTTACCACTTCAGTGAAACCTAGTGGTTTCTATTCTTCAGAACTTAAGAAATGCTTTTTAGACCATCAAATCTTTGACTATGCCTTGCTTTTTAGAGACAGTCCTCAATAACATATCACCACTGTTTCTCTCTCCCTTCCTCCCCCCTTTCCTATCTCTATCACTTTGAAACAAGGTCTTATCATGTAGTCCTAACTGGTTTCAACCTCCACATCTTTCTCCCCCCCACCTCTTTGCCAGTCCTGGGGCTTGAACTCAGGGCCTGGGCACTGTCCCTGAGCTTCTTTTGCTCAAGGCTAACACTCTACCACTTGAGCCATAGTGTCACTTGCAGCTTTTTCTGTGTATGTGGTACTGAGGAATCAAACCCAAGGTTTCATGCATGCAAGGCAAGGACTCTACCATTAAGCCACATTCCCAGCCTTTTTTCTTTTTCTCTTAATTGAACTCAGGACCTGGGCACGGTCCCTGAACTTTTTCACTCAAGGCTAGTGCTCTACCACTTTGCGCCACAGTGACACTTCCAGTTGTCTGGCTTAATTGGAGATAAGAGTCTCACGGACTTTTCTGCCTGGGCTGGCTTTGAACCATGATCCTCAGATCTCAGCCTCCTGAGTAGCTAGGATTACAGGTGTGAGCCACTGGCACCCGGCTTCTCTACATTTTCTTTTTTTTTTTTTTTTTTTGCCGGTCATGGGGCCTGAACTCTGGGTCTGGGCGCTGTCCCTCAGCTCTTCAGCTCAAGGCTAGTGCTCTACCACTGGAGCCACAGTACCACTTCCGGCTTTTTCTGTTTATGTGGTGCTGAGGAATCGAACCCAGGGCCTCATGCTTGCAAGGCATGCACTCTACCACTGAGCTACCTTCCCAGCCCCTCTCTCCATTTTCTTAATTCAGCCTCCTGAATGCTAGGACTACATGTGTGTGCCGCTATGCCTAGAGCCAGTATTTTCAACCTGATCTTTAGTTCTATACTCCACAGTGTAAAGAAGGCCCGTTGAAGGCAAATATTTGATCCTACTGAGATGCCTGAGATTCTTATCTTTATCTGGATTTTTATATAAATTGTGTGAGCCCCATTCCCCAGGCATCGCTTCTTTATGGGCCTTGCAATTTTCCACTTTCCAACAACTCTATCACACAGTAAAAGCAGAATGTAATAAGGCATACAATGGTAGAAACACAGTGCCAGGTTGTTAAGGCAGCCAAAGCTGATCTGCTGGGATAGCAGGCCACACCGCTTGGTCAGGTAAGAAAGTCAGAGTAGACCAGCTGACTTCCCAAAGGTGGCTGGGATATTAGTACATAAAATAGCTTGTTCCTAAGTCAAAGACCTGTTACATTCACTCAGGGACCGTTGGGAAGAATAAAGGAGGTAACATCTACTAAGTGCCTGGCATGCAATAGAAATGTTTGCTGGAGCTGAGCCTTCAGAGCTAAAAGCCAAATCTGATTGTTCTCCATCCCAGTGTGTGAGATGGGGAAGAATGAGCCCTGCTCTGCCCACCAGGTGCTGCTCTCTGGTACCCGTGTCTCGTCGCCTAACTTCCATGTCTAGGGAAGGTGTGTGCTTAGCCCCTCCCACCCCGGCCCCTCCTTACATTGCCATGGCTCTTTGCAAGTGCAGAGTTGATGTCCTGCCATTGAGTAATGGGAGGCAGGCCCATGGCTTCCCTGGCCTTCATGTAAGAGGGTAGGCCCAGATCCCGGCCTCGCTGCAGACAGCTGGCAAAGTGATCTGTCCTGGAAAACTTCAGTGGGCCAGGCCAGAAATCTGGAACAAAGATCAGAGGGTCAGAGTCAGCTGAGGGCCACCGATGTAGCCTCTAGTTCAAGTTGCTCTAACCAACTCCAGAGGCAGCCCCAGCGAGTGGGTTAGAAGCTCTCTCAACAAAGAAAGAGCTGCAGGTCCTCAACCCAGGGTGGCCTCCCTGGCTCTCCAGGGATCTCCTCCCAGAGGCCGGAGATCCACAGAGACAGCCTGAGGCTCACCTCGCACATCTTCTACCATCACATGGTCCTCTCTCTCTGCGATCTGGGAAGCCATGCCCAGCAGCAGGGAATCCACATCCTCAGCCCTTTGTAGGCTTGGGTGCTTTGGTGAGTAGGAGGAAGGAGAAGGATGTGGTTAACGAGGCCAGAGTTGGGCAGCCAGCCTTTCTCCACTACATACATCCTCCAAATCCTTGAGCCAGCTCAGTGCTGGTGCTTGATCCCTGCAGGTGAATTCCCCATTCATGTTGAGCAATGTTCCCAGTCAGTGCCCAGGCTTCTAAGAGCACAAACAACCTTAACACGTGCTATTTATCTTGGGAGACTTGACAATATGGTTGGCAAGGGCATTACAATATCTAGGTCTTCTTTGTCCCTTGTGTTGGCATGCATCAGCTGTATCATCTTGGGCAAATGTTAGGACTTCTCTGAACTCATTGTCCTCCCATTAGTAAATAAATAAATAAATAAAAATAAAAATACTTGGGGCAGGGGTGTGGCTCAGGGATAGAGCCATTGCCAAGGATGACCGCAGCTTTGGTTCGATCCCAGCACCAAAAAACAACAAAAATCCCAACACGTAACCGATTGGGAGGATGCTGCGTCCTCGGCCACCTCTGCTGCATGCTGCTACCCTCTTCTCCTTGGCTCTCAACTGTCTCCTTTGTTTTTTTTTGTTTTTTGTTTTGGTCGGTTGTGGGGCCTGAACTCTGGGCCTGGGCGCTGTCCCTCAGCTCTGCAGCTCAAGGCTAGCGCTCTACCACTTGAGCCACAGCACCACTTCCAGCTTTTTTCTTTTTGCTTATGTGGTGCTGAGGAATCGAACCCAGGGCCTCATGCGTGCAAGGCAAGCACTCTACCACTGAGCCACCTTCCCAGCCCTCAACTGTCTCCTTTGTAAGCACTCACAGAAATGCTTGATTTTGCTTTAAATTAGTGGCCAAGGCTCTTCACACACTGGCTTGTTTTGGATGGACAGACTTTCCCCCCCCCATAATCTCTTAGAACCGCCTCTCCTCTCCACCCAACACACACACACACACACACACACACACACACACACACACACACACACACACACACACACACACTTTCTCACTCTGCCATAGAAAGCTTCTCTGGGGGTAGGGTTAGGTGCCCCAAAACCTCAAAGAACCCAAAGCTATAGAACCACTCCAGTACAGCCCCCATGATCTCTCACAGAGCCCTGAGGTGAGAGGCTGGATTTATGAGTAGACACCCCGGAAAGCCCCCCTTCACTTAAGCCCAGCCCATCAGTTCTATTACACCCCTCCCACATGCTCTCAGACACAAACACACAAGGCATGCACACTACACATCACACACACCACACACACATACAGCTACCCACGTATGCGTCCCCAACACTGACCTCTCGACTCCAGTAGCTGTTGCAGACCCGGAGAGCTCTGGAGAAACTCGAGTTCCGATTGACAATCCTCTGGAAGTGACAGCTGGCATTCCTAAAATGCAAGGAGCAGGGGAGTGGTGACCACGGCCATAAGGTCCTAATGTCAGGCCTCAGCTGTGATCTCTGAGACTATGGCCAGGGGCCCTGGGTTATGGTCTGCCTTAGATGGTATGCCGTCATGCTACCTGGCTAGACAAGCTGACTTTTTTTGGTCAAATATAGCCCATAGAGCACTCTTCCTGTCTCTCCTTCTAGGAAGAAGGTCCCTGTATAAACACACATATGCATGCACACATATACAACGGCCTCTTAGTATCTACTGGGGACTGATTCTCAGACCCTTGCAAATATCAAATTCATTTTTGTTCAAGTCCTTTGCATAAAATGCCATAATCTACAGACATCTATCTGTATACCTTAACTCATCTCTTGATTCTTACATTACTTAATTCAAGGTAAATGCTAAGTAAATAGTTGTTAGGCTATATGAGAGATTAATAAGGGACTAATGCAGGTCATTAATTGCATCTGTGCAGATGCATTAAAAATATTTTTAGGGCTAGGAAGGTGGCTCAGTGGTAGAGTGCTTGCTTTGCATGCATGAGGCCCTGGGTTCAATTCCTAAGCACCACATAAGCAGAAAAAGCCAGAAGTAGCACTGTGGCTCAGTGGTAGAGTGCCAGCCTTGAGCTGAAGAGCTAAGGGACAGTGCCCAGGCCCAGAGTTCAGGCCCTATGACTGACAAAAAAAATAAATAAATAAAAATAAAAAATTTTAATCTGAGGTCAGATGAATGTATAGAGGGGAATTTGCCGATACGGAAGGCTTACTGTATTCATACTATATATAACATTATATGTGTGTAAATATTTTTAAGGGATATAAAACTAGTCTGTGGCACAACTGTAATCCCACTGAGTTGGGAGGCTGAGGAAGAGGAATTGTGAGTTCAAGGTCAGCCTGGACTTTATAATGAGATTCTATCATCAGGTATACCTAGACATTGTCTTGAAAATTTGTCCTGTAAAAACTGTAATGCAATTGTAAAAACAAACCAAAAAACCCAAACCCAAAGCACAGTAAATTGACTTGCCTTTCTTTCATATACGTTTATTCAAGCTTGTGTATTTTTATTTCAATGTTCCCTTTGCAGTCTTTTGGAGGCAATAGTTTTTCCTCATGTTTTGCACACATTTAAAATTTTTTTCATTTTTATTGTGACATACAGAGTGGTTCCAGTGCTGGAAGTGAAGTAATAAGTGTATTCCTCTTTGGATAATGTCACCTCTTCTCTCACTCTCCCATTGTGCTTATTTTTCAAACTTCTTCCAAAGGCTTGCCAGCCCCTCATTTGGTGCTTCTAGTTAAATATGCCCCAAGTTTAGTGCTGGGACCTGAGGCTCCTACTGGTGGGCTTCCTCTGGGCCTCAGTTACTCTGCCTTTGTGTGTGTGTGTGTGTGTGTGTGTGTGTGTGTGTGTGTGTGTACTACAGCAGCTGCACGAGAAAGGGCATAAAAGTTCCCTACAAGGGCTGAAGGCGCGGCTTAAATGGAAGAGCACCTGTCCAGCTTGCTCACAGCCTCCTTCCCCAAAAGATGTTATCACCAAGATCTACCTTCTTTAACACTTACTTTCCTTGGAGGAACAAGCAAGATTCCAACTGATAACTGGGTCCTTTTTTTTGGGGGGGGGGTCCGGTCGTGGGGCCTGAACTCTGGGCCTGGGCGCTGTCCCTCAGCTCTTCAGCTCAAGGCTAGCGCTCTACCACTTGAGCCACAGCGCCACTTCTGGCTTTTTTCCTTTTGCTTATGTGGTGCTGAGGAATCGAACCCAGGGCCTCAGGCATGCAAGGCAAGGGCTCTTCCACTGAGCCACCTTCCCAGCCCCCTGATAACTGTGTCCTAAGGGTTCCTGAGGGCAGATTTTTATCAACACCATCCCAAGACTGAAAAGGACCAGCCCCTCCCGCACCTCATGTACACAGCAGGGGGCACCATGGTGGAGAGGAACTGCTCTGACGCAGCCACGAACTCGGGGGAGATGCTGGGGTCCACAAATGGACGGTATCCTGACGGAAGAAAGGGAGAGAGTCGTGCAACTACTCCATCCTACAGCCACCCCTACCCCCCAAATATCTCTATTGACAACCACCTCCAGCCAACTGTCTCCCCCTCTTCCCCATCCCCTCACCTGTATACGGCGGGGGCGTTTTCTGCAGGAAGCTGGGCAGCCACTCATACAGAGCAATGTTCTGAGGGGACAGGGCAGGGGGGGGGGGGGGACACACGTGTTGGGCTGGACCAGGAGGAAATCTGAGCCTAAGGGAGGCTGAGGTGCAGAGATGAGGGGCAGGGGCAGGACAGACTTCCGCAGGATCCAGATGAGCCCCGTCTCCCCCTTCGGGGAAGACTTGAGGGGTGCGCAGGCCAACTAGCTTCCCAAGCGACATCTCCCCCAGAAGCCGCGTTCTGGCCCCTACTTGTCATCCAGGGGGGCTTTGCGTGGACATGAGGTCTCTGGGCACAGGGGCCTCCTGGAAGGGGCGTTCCTGGGTGGGGGTGGTCCCCGGGTTGGAGGAGCTCTGCGGGGAGTCCCGAGTGTCGGGGTACCGCAGGTGGATGGGGTGGGCACAGGGGAGGGGGGGGGCAGGTGCACCTGGTGGATGGGGTGGGGGGCGGGCTCACCTGGATGGGGCGGGGGGGGGGCGGGCTCACCTGGTGGATGGGGGGCGGGCTCACCTGGTGGATGGGGTGGGGGGACGGGCTCACCTGGTGGATGGGGTGGGGGGACGGGCTCACCTGGTGGATGGGGTGGGGGGCGGGCTCACCTGGTGGATGGGGGTTGGGCTCACCTGGTGGATGGGGGGCGGGCTCACCTGGTGGATGGGGGACGGGCTCACCTGGTGGATGGGGTGGGGGGTCGGGCTCACCTGGTGGATGGGGTGGGGGGGGCTCACCTGGAAGGTGGCGATGACCCTCTTGCGCGCGTGCTGGAACAGCTCCTCGTCGCCCCAGCGCGGCCGCTCCCGCGCCAGCCTGCGCGCGCACGCGTTGTGGTAGCGGAACCACAGCAGGCCCAGCGCCTGCAGGAAGGGCTCCCTGTTGCCCCGCGGGGCCCCGAAGGCTGCGAGCAAGCGGGCGCCAGGGGCTGAGCGGGGCTGGCGCAGGGGACGCGGGGGCCCGGGGATCCCCCCCCCGCCCTCTGCGCGCCCCGACGCGTGCGGCCCGCACCCCGCGCCGGCCGGCCGGGCGCTCACCGTACAGCCCGCGGGGCCCGCCCTGGCCCGTGGCGGGGTCGGGCGCCGACCACATGAGCAGCGCGGCCTGCGGGTCCCGCGGGAAGTTGGGGTCGGGCCCCGACGCCAGCTGTCCCCCGGAGAAGCTCCTCAGGGCGTCGCTCCACGAGTGCGAGGAGCCGTAGATGGCGCTGCCGTCCAGCCAGCCGCTCACCTGGTTGGTCTGGGGGGGGCGAGGGAAGGTCAGGGCAGGACTGGACCCCAGGGCTAGGCTGGGGGGGCCAGGGGGGACCCCCAAGTGCTAAGGCATGCCCAGCTCCTGGTGTGCGCGTCCTCACCAGGTCCCGGGGGTTACTGGGGCTCTGTCCGGTCTCGGGGTCCCAGCGGCTCCTCTGGAAGGGCAGCACCACGTCCCCGCGCCGCTGGGGGTCAAACACGGGGTCTCCGGGCGGGATGCGGATGTTGAGGAACTCGGCGGGGCAGCCGGGGGTCTCCACGCTCACCAGGTCGGACAGCACGTGGTAGCCTGCCCACGAGGCCGGGGGAGGGGGTGGGGGGCGCTGGGCCAGTGGAAGGCGGGCTCTCCGCCCCGCCCAACCTCCTCCTCCCCACCCCCTCCCAGGCTCTTAGCCCTCCTCCCTCCCCTGAGAAGCTTCCAGAGTCATCTTCCTTCCACGATGGGCAAGTCCAAGCCTTGACCTCTTGCGTTCCCTCCCCGTTCTTCGTCTCTCCAGGCCTTCTCGCCCTGCCCGTGCCCAACACCTGATCTCAGATGTTGTCGTCAGTCAGTTTGGCATTCTCCTTGGTAACTGGGAGGTGCTGGGGCTGGGCAGACAGGCCGACACGACCCGTGCCAACACGCACTTGGGAGCCTCCCTGGCTCGCCCCACTGCCAGCCAACGCCGAAGGAGCCCACATAGATGGCGAAGGAGACGCCTGGCTTTGTGGCTGGACTTGCCACCAACCCTGAGCACCCTAGCGCTCTCCCCGTGACCTCCCCTCGGCCTGCCAACAGTCCAGAGCCCTGAGCCTGTCCCAGAAGCAACTGGGAACACAGGGCAGAAGGAAAAATACCTACCAGATCCTTTTCACATCCTGCTTCTACCCGCCAGCCTCCAACAGCCACGTATAGAGATGCTCCCTGTTTTCCCTCCCCCCCCCCACCTCTCCTTCTTGCGAGGAACACATTTATGCTTCTGTCCACCCCCCTTCAGCAAGGGTCCTCCGCATCTCCCTTCCGCTTCTCTCCTCATCCCCTGTCCATACATAGATGCTGACCTCTCCCCAGAAAGCGTCCTCACCGAAGAAGACTCCCAGCACTGTACGGTTCCGCAGAGAAGCCTGCCCTGCAGGGCCCTTCGTGGCAGTGTTGCTAAGGTCCCGGGGATTAGGCAGGTAGGGTTCTCCCAAAGGCTGGTACACACCATCTGCATAGTTGGCTGGGACCAGGCGCTGAAGTCGAGAGCCTAGAATAGGAGAGTTAAGAACACGCATGAAGGATCAGGGAGCGTTTTTGGCCTCTTCTCTCCCAAGCTGCTTTCCGTACCTGGGATCTGAAAATGGTTTTACTTAGACCTGGATGGCCTTTGTGGATGTTTGCCAGCCTTGGCTTCCATCAGTAGGTGCCACCCCAGCCCCGGGACTCTATCAACTCTTGGCTCTCACCTACCTTTGCTGCCCCATCTGTGTTCCATGAGGTTGTTGTACCACCCGTCAAATCTCTGCACCTCCCATGAAATGGGGTTCTGAGCTCCTGTGTGAAAATAGGGACAAGGGGCAGCTGGACAAGTCAGGGTGAGAGGCCAGGCAGGCTACGGAGCTCTGTGAGTCTAGCACTTCGAGTAGCAGTAGCGGGACCCCCAGCTCAGATGGGGCAGGGGAGGTAGGGGGTTCGGAGATAGGGTACAGAGGGAGAAAACAGGGTAAAATAATGTCAAACTCAAGTCCACTCTAAGCCATTCAGTGGGACAACATTACTTTTAACAGATACCATTACTTCTTTTTGTGTGTGTCAGTTGTGGGGCTTGAACTCTGGGCCTGGGCACTGTCCCTCAGCTCTTCAGCTCAAGGTGAGCGCTCTACCACTGGAGGCACAGCGCCACTTCTGGTTTTCTGGTGCTTAATTGGAGATCAGTCTCATGGACTGTCTTGCCTGGGCTGGCTTTGAACCTATGATCCTCAGCTCTCAGTCTCCTGAGTAGCTAGGATTACAGGCATGAGCCACCGGCGCCTTCTAAAGGATACTTCTAGCAGGATACAATGCCTGGAGACAAATGGCCTCAAGGAAGAGGAGTGGCCATGGATGGAGAAGAAGATGCAGGAATCTGTGCTCCCCACACCTGTCAGATCCCTGGGGGACCCAGTAGGACAGAAATCTTTCCTAGTTCTCAGACATCACACAGAGGAAGGGCCAACCACACCCCATACTTGGGAAGGACAAGTCATTCTGTGACCCATCAATGGGCAGGGGCAATGGGAAGAGGGGCCTGGCCCTCTGTGGTTGAGCTGAGCCCAGGGCAGAGGTGTGGTGCTGCTCCTCTGGTCTTTTTCCCAGTTTCTTGGGTGGGAACAGGGACTGTACTGGCCACGTGAATGACTTTGCTCCTTCCCCCTTTGGAACATCTTGTCCCCCATAGAATTCCTGCCTTTGATGCTATTGCATCCCTTCCAGAAGGGAAGAACTGAGGAAGGGAGGGGCAGGAAGGAGGGTCCAGAATCAGGTAAGGAATGGAAGTCATTCTGGCCAGTATATTGGATGACGAGCTAGGGGCTAGGGAGGGAAAAATGACTCAGGCACTGAAGTTTAAGCAAAGAACATGGCTGGGATCTGTATAAGATCTGGGCAAGGACTAGGACAGCCATATACATGTGATCTTTAAAGTAAGATGAACGGGTAGCAGAACATGGAAGGGGCTTTAGAAGGAGAATACAGAGAGAGAATATCTATTAAGGATTTGGGGCAAGAGCTGAGGATAAAGGGAAACACCAAAGCCAAGGAAAAGGGAGGACGGGAAAGAACTCAAAGTTGAGCAGCTCTGACAAAGGAGAACTGGAGAGGCCGAGCCACCATCTTCAAACCAGGGCAGATCATTCCATGGGTTTTCCTTTTCTCTTGTTTTACATCATCCATCCCTAATGAGCAGAGATTGGCTCTTTGTAGCCTAACTTTTGGCATCTTAAACCCACTTCCCTTCTAAGGGAAGAGCCTTAGATTTTTAATAAGAGATTGTCAGAGCTGGGCACCAGTGGCTCATACATGTAATCCAGGATACTCAGGAGGCTGAGATTTGAGGATCATGGTTCGAACCTAACCTGGGCAGAAAAGTCTGTGAGACTTTTATCTCCAACTAACTAGCAAAAAACTGGAAGTGGAGGTGTGGTTCAAATGGTAGAGCACCAGCATTGAGTGAACAAGCTAAAGGAGAGGGCCTGAGTTCAACCCCAGTACCAGCATGAAGAAAGGAAGGAAGGAAGGAGGGAGGGAGGGAGGGAGAGAGGAAGGGAAGGAGAGAGGGAAGAAAGGAAGGAAGGAAAAAATAGAACAGAAGAAAAAAAGAAAAACAGAGGCTGTCCAAAGCTGAATTCTTGTGGTTAATCCTATTTTTAGTTTCCATCATATTATTTTTTTTAATTGGTCACTCTTCTTCAGCTTTGGGTACAATCTGACCCAAAATTCCATTTCTGTCTCTACTCTCTAATTAATCTTTTCCTGTATCAAATCAGAAGTACTTGTTTTATGAAAAAAAAAGAAGAAAAAGAGAAATTGCTCCCCAAAAAACTAGAAGGGATCAAATACCAAGTGAATTACTAAATGTATTTGGATTGCATGGTTTTTTTTTTTTTTTTTTGCTTATGTGGTGCTGAGGAATTGAACCCAGGGCTTCATGCATGAGAGGCAAGCACTCTACCACTGAGCCAACTTCCCAGCCCTTGGAAATAATTATCATTCCAATATCCACTTATTTATTCAGCAGCTAGAAATGGGTATCTACCAGAGATTGGGTCAGCCAGGGACTAAAGATACAGAGATGAATATGACACAGCTGCTGTCCCTGGAGGAACCAAGAAGATTCTGGTCCCTCTGTTCCTAGCTGTTTTCCTCCTAATGTCTACTCACCCAGGGGGGTCCATGGTCCAACCAGTAACGCCCATGCCAGAGCCAGGTGGAAGCTCATGATGACAATGATAATAGGAGCTCAGATGTTAGACTACTCCAAAGTGGAGATCCTAGAAAAGGAGAGAACAAAGAAATGAGCCCGAGCAATTCAGAAGCATCCATCTCAGCAGATGTTAAGAATCAAAGCCGGAAGGGGGCGGGGGGAGGGCTGAGCCCAGGCCAGAGTGGGGTAAGAGACCCACTCTTTCCTGAGATTCTTTTGGTGGTGGTGGTGGTGGTCATGGAGCCTGAACTCTGAGCTGGGCGCTGTCCCTCAGCTCTTCAGCTCAAGGCGAGTGCTCTACCACTTGAGCCACAGCGCCACTTCTGGCTTTTTCTGCTGATGTGGTGCTGAGGAATGGAACCCAGGGCCTCATGCATGCAAGGCAAGCACTCTACCACTGAGCCACCTTCCCAGCCCCTCCTGAGATTCTTTTATTCATTCTATAAATCCTCAATGGGCCTGCTGCAAACAGAAACTAACATAGGCATGAGATTAAGGAAAAATGAACATAATCATAACCTTGGCCTTCACAGATCTTAGCTTCTGATTAGTTAGAAAACCCATGCTGTGGCCCAGCTGCCCACAGAGGGCAGGAGGCTGGGCTATGATCTCAGTGTGGCTCCCCCTCCTACAACAGGGTATTAGACTAGTCACTTATCTGGTTGGACCCTTTTTTCCCCTCTTTCCAGCCTTGGTAGTAAATATGCCTGTTTACTTCCCAGCATGATCTCCAGAAACCAGATGTGACAATGAGGTTGAACTTAGAGCAAGAAAAGTGACAAGTGTGACCCAAGTGTGATATGGCTCCTCTGGGTAAACTCAGGAGGGGTGCAGGGCTTGCTACTCAGGATTTAGTATAGGCTTCCAGCTCTCCCCACCCATATAGGCCAACACACCACACTGAGACCAGAAGGAAACAAAAGCAGAGGAAGACCCAGGCTGGCACTTCTGAGTGGCACAAAGCAGATCTAAAGCCAGTGAAGTCCTTCTACAGGCAACCTGGGGATGGGGTAAGAAATGGAGTTGCTTTAGCCAAACCTCAGAGTTCCAGGAAGTGACCTCATTCTCATGCCTTAATACTCTATGAAACAAACGGAAAACCAACCAACCAACTACTGAATTGTTAGGCCTCGCCACAATTCCAAACTCAGTATGACACCATCCCACCGAGTCCTCCCCACGCTGCCTTGGGAAATGTGTAAAGAGAGCTGGGCTCTGGCTCTTTGAAGCTGGAAGGCTGGAAATGCTGAAGCGGCCACTGTGCTCCTCCCTCATCCGCACTGTCCTCCCCTTCCCCTCCCCCTCTCAACAGGTCTTCAGGATCCTGGGCCCCAAACCCCCATGTACCACTTGCCCCACCTGAGGGCATGCTGTCATGCTGTCATGGCTTTCAGGCCAGGCTGGTGGGGGGGGGGGGGGACAAGAGGTATGCTTCACAACCACTCCTTGTGGGCAAATATCCCTGGAGGATTTACACCGCCACATGGGTGCAGTGGCTTCCACACAGCCTTGAAATGAAGGCAGCAGGCCCAGGCACAAGGCAATAAAAAACCAGCAAGCAGTGGTACCTGGGAACAAGCACAGGCCTGCTAGGTTCTGGTTCCACAAGACCACTTTGTTATTGTTGTTTTGTTGTTCTTTCCAGCCTAAAGTTACAGAATAGGGTCCCGGGTGGCTCTTGAGACAGGGGGAAAGATGAGTTAAGAGCCTAGAGACTCTAAGCTGGTTCCAAAAGAGGGCCAAAGGGTAAAAGGATGGACCCACATTCCTTGCCTCGGCCAGATTGTGCTGATGTCAGGAGATCCTCAGCCCAAGCAAACTGGGTCATCCGACATTCCCGGACCCCGAAGACCCCCCAACTCTCCCCAAACCTTGATGAGGAAGAGCACAGGCTCTAACCTGGACCCCCTTTCAGCCTCAGGAAAAGGTAGCAGGTGTGGACGAGGTGGCTGGGAAGAATTCCCCCTCCCTCAAAACAATAAAAAAGGGCCCAGATTTTGGGGGGCGGGTGGCTCCCCGCGGCCCTCGGAGCCCACGGGAGCGCGTTTCTCCTCAAGCACCCACATCCACCCGCCAGGAGAAGCCCCCCCCAGGATCTGACCTTGGCAGCGTGGTCCCCCCCCACCCCAGCCTGGGACTGCGATGGGCTCCGGTCTGGGGTTCGACTGGGGCCCCCCAACTCGTTCGCGCTCTCTCCTTGCTCGCTCGCTCGCTCGCGGCTCCGCTGCCTCAGAGCTGTGAGCCGGGGCGGGTGGGGCTGGGGTGAAGAGGGCCCGGCGCCGAGGAGGGGCGGGGCTCCGCGAGGGGCGGGGCTCCGAGGGGGCGGGGCTCTGAGGGGCGGGGCGGGTGGGGCTTGGGGTGAAGAGGGCCGGGCGCCGAGGCTGGGCGGGGCGAAGCTGGGCGGGGCTCCGAGGGGGCGGGGCTGTGAGGAGGCGGGGCGGATGGGGCTGAGGGTGAAGAGGGCCCAGCGCCGAGGCGGGGCGGGGCTCCGAGAGGGGCGGGGCTCTAAGGGGCGGGTCGGGTGGGGCTGGGGGTGAAGAGGGCCCGGCGCCGAGGCGGAGTGGGGCGGGGCTTCTGGGGGCGGGGCTCCGAGGGGCGTGGCGGGTAGGGCTGGGAGTGAAGAGGGCCCAGCGCCGAGGCGGGGCGGGGCTCCGAGGGGGCGGGGCGAATGGGGGCGGGGCGAATGGGGTGGGGGGGTGAAGAGGGCCCAGAGCCGAGGCGGGGCGGGGCTCTGAGGGGGCGGGGCTATGGGGCGGGGCGGGCAGGGCTGGGGGTGGAGAGGGCCCAGCTCCAAGGCGGGGCGGGGCTATGCTCGAGGGGCGGGGCTATGCCCGAGGGGCGGGGCGGGCGGGGCCGGGTAGAGGCGGGAGCGCTGGCGCCGGGACCCGCCAAGGTGCTCGGGAGCCACTGGCGCGCACGCAGAGAGGTGAGACCGCGTGTTAGCCTCGCCTGGCTCAGATGCGGGGTGTCCCTGCGGGGCTCGGGGCTCAGCGAGGGTGGCCACGAACGCCACTGGCCCGCTTCTATTAAGTTGGTTGGGGTAGAGGAGAGGGTGGGAGAAAAGACAAAAGAGGGTGCAGTGGGTGTGGGGAGAAGGCGGAGAGGCTGTCCCCAAACCCTCTCCATCCTGGTCAGGTCTCGGAAACGGAAGGGGACCATCCGACCTCTGCCCACGGAGCAGTCCTGATGCCAAAGCTAGGCATCCTGAGAACTTTCTCCAGACAGGACTCCGAGGCGTGGGGGGATGGAGCGGGGGAGGAACTGCATTGCTGGGTTTGCATCGGAGACACCCGAGTGCTTTGCGCATGGATGGGGAATGGGGGGGGGGAAGGAGGGGGTTGGGAGGGGTAGTGGTGGCTGTGGGAGGGGGCAGACACAGGGTAACCTGTCCTGGGACACCCATCCTTCCCTTCGGGCGCAGTCTGAGAAGGTTGGGGAGGACTTAAAGTGACAGGGCGGGGGAGCACCCCAGACCCGGTTTGTCCAGTCCTAACCTGGTCCTGAATGAAGAGGAGTAGAGGTTGGAAGGGAGTCCCATTCCCGCCTCCACCCCCCGCCAAAAGAAACAAAAAACCGGGAGAAAAGTGCGTGCTTTTGTTGACAGGACATCTGGACCGGGTCCCCTTCCTGACTCCCCCAGCCTCAAAGCCCGCTTGTGAGGTTGCACAGCCAGAGGCCAGCACAGCCGCCGGCTGCCACACAGCTATTATTCGGAAGAGGAAAAGGTAGGGAACAGTGGTCTGGATTTTGGGGTTGGGGGTTGGGATGGAATGTGACTACTGGGGGTTACCCTTAGCAGAGTGGGTTCAGAGGCCTTGAAGTGTTCCTGCTCTTATACTGGCCTCTAGGGGCACATTTTTCTTTAATGCAATTTTATTATTATTATTATTAAGGTGCTATACAGAAGGGTTAAGCATTTCATAAGTCAGGTAATGAGAACATTTCCTGTTTTGAACAATGTCACCCCTTATTTCGCTTTCCCTCAGTTTTCCCCTCCTGTCCCTGCCCACAAAGGACATAGTTCATTTTTAGGGGCTTCGTTGCTTGAGTTTTGCTGGACCAAATTAAGATCAAGTCAGGGGCTCCCCCCGGGGAAAGTTTGATAAGAAATGAAGGCAAGGGAAAGTTCCTTAGGCTATAAAAGACACCTGCTTAACAGATATTGAATCCTTACTGTCTTTTAACTGGATAGGTTCACTTGCATAATCACCCCTCCCCTGACTGCTTACCTCATCATCCCTCACTGGGGAGCCCTGTCTCAACTCACTCTTTAGATCTTGTTCTGTTTCTCCACCTAAGACCTCCTTTAATGCAACAACAACAACAACAACACACACACACACACACACACACACACACACACACACACACATTCTACTTCCTCCAGAGGAAAGACAAAGACAGGAGTTCCTGACAGCTAGCCAAAGTCATAAATTTTGACATCTACCCAAGCCAGAGAAATAAAGCATGAAATTCCAGTAGCCATGCATTTTCCAGTCAGAGCCTTTGACAGCTTTAGGGGTGTCACCTTCTGGTACTTTGTAGGGGATTAGTAAAGGTACAGAGCACTTCACAAAGGCATGTGATTTGAGTGATGAAGACTGACACTTTACCAGGCTGAATTTTCCCCAAGACCACATCCTCTTTGTATTTGCTGCCTGCTTATTTAGGTCAGTATACACTGTAAATGTAGACCAGCCACAGTGGCGAGCTAGGGGACAAGTCGGGCGAGGTGCTGTCCCTGAGCTCTTTTACTCAAGGCTAGCACTTTGAGCCACAGTGCACTTCTAGATTTCTGGTGGTTAATTGGAGATAAGAGTCTCACGGACTTTCCTGTCCCTGTTGGCTTTGAATTGAGATTCTCATTTCTCAGCCTCCTGAGTGGCTAGGATTACAGGAATGAGCCACTGGCGCCCAGCTCAAGTTAATCTTGACATGAGTTTGTTGTTGTTGTTGTTGTTGTTGTTTTTGGGGGGGAATCATATTAGAACCAATTCCATTGTCAGACTTTACATGTCAACAGGGAGAAAGATAGTACTGAGGACTGAATAGAAGCTCTATCACTTGAGCCACACCTCCAGACTCTTCTTTTGACATTGGTTCTTTTCCACACTGTGGCTCACTTTATCTCCCGTGGGTAGAGGGCTATGATCCTGGTACCTATGCCTTCCCATGTCACTGGGGATAAGAGATACATGGATGGTACCACACTCTGCCATTAGTGAAGATGGTGTCTCAGTTCAGGGCTGGCCTTGCACCATGACTGCAGTTTCGCTAGGGCTACAGGCTTGAGCCACTACACCTGGCTAACCCAAAAGACAGCAGGATTTCCAGAGACTTTTTTTTCGAGTCCTACTTCTTCATGTTAGTTTAGTAATGAAAAGTGAATGGAGCTCAGGCTCATGAAAGTTAAAGTTAAATGAGATTAAATGTAGATTAAGGAAGAGCAAATTATAAATTTGACCCAGAAGAGATTTAAGAAAGGCAAATTTTATTCACCAAACGCTTTGTGCTGTTGTTTTGGAAATCGCTCTCGACCTTGCAATCCTCCTGTCTCAACCTCTCAAATGGTGGGATTATAGGCATGCACTACCACTGTAGGCTTGCCAACTGCCTCTTTTGCTTTAAGTCACTTTAAAGCAATATTTTGGAAAATTGGAAATAACATTATCCTTCTGTACTTAAGACAGAAAGACTTTTGTTAGTGTTTCTTTGAAGCATGTTAATAGAGATGAGCTATTCTTGTAAAAAAATTTATAACCTCTCATTAAATTAAATGCAGGAGCCAGGCATCCATGGCTCACGCCTGTAATCCTAGTTACTCAGAAGGCTGAGATCTGAGGATTGAAGTTCAAAGCCAGCCTGGGCAGGAAAGTCCATGAAACTCTTATCTCCAATAAGCCATCAGAAAACTGGAAGTGGCACTGTGGTTCAAGTAGTAGAACACTAGTCTTGAGCTGAAGAGCTGAGGGACAGTGCCCAGGCCCAGAGTTCAGGCCCCATGATTGACAATAAAATAAAATAAAATAAAATGCAGGAATACTACTACTATATGATCTGAAGCAAAATACATTACATTATTTGTTATTTGCTTGTATTAAAAAAATATTTGCTTTTGAAATTCCAGCACATAATATGCGTCTACTTATGAACAACTTTGCTTTATCTTCCCAGCTTATTAACCAAGATATTCTACATTTTATGACCCTTCCTCCTACAGCCTTTTACTTTAAAAAAAAGTGGCCTAAATCTAGGCATCATAAATTCAATAAAAAGAATTCAGCCTTAAAATAAATGTCACTCATCACATATTTTACAAAATAATTTATTTAATAAATCCTTAGTTACACTTCCTCAGCTAGGGTTGAAATGTATGTTGCATATTCACTTAAACACAGATATTCATGCTTGGGTCTTTGCTAGTTTTGGAGGCTCCAATATATTGGAAGAGGCTTTCTGAAAATATTTTGAAATCACTGAACAGTGGTTAGTGAAATCCCTTCTTCTATCGGTGATACTTGATTATTGTGTTGTATGTAGTATGGCCAGTGGTGGAGTATAGCTCCCCCTTGTGTAAGGAATCAGAAGCAACACGTGGGAAGAACTCATTTGTATTTGGTCATTTGATCTGGAACTTGATTAGTATATACATTACAAGTAGGCAATATAAAGATGGGAAGATTAAGTCCTTGCCTGCGAGAAGATTAGAATCTAATAAGGAGACAATGTGAAAACAATTAGAGGACTGTGTAATTGTTGTGATCATGGAGATATACTCACATGCAATTAGAATGTTCTGGAGTAGGGAACATTTGGGCTGGCCCAGTCATCTCAGAGGAAACTTGAGAGAGGAGGTGGAGCAAGCTCAGACTTGAAGAGTGAAAAGCTATTTGCCAAAAGGGGTAGAGGATTTCAGGTAAAGAAAAGGCTAGCGTACAAAGGCAGGAAGGCGTGGAACATGTCGGATACATGTAGAGAGGCGTTGCTGTAGACTAGACGGGGCCCAGGGTAGAGCTGGACCAATGGGGAAGGATACCAGATCACAGAGCGCCCTATGTGTGACAGTGAGACTAGGTTTTACCTAAAGTAAAGAAGTGAAGTGGTCCTATTTGCCTTTTAGAAAAATCA